AGCCGACCATAAGGGAGACTGACGGACAGGAATCCGGGAGAGCCACTCATCCAAGGATGAGGTGGTGGACCGAAGTGTCGGGTGCACAGGTGGTGTGCCTATGTGGTGTTGATGACTAGCTAGAAGGACTACTAATCGGGCGGCTACAAATCAGGTTCACTTTTTCTGAACCAGAGTTGCAGCCGCCCGACACCAATTTTCCTTTTTGACTGGGGGTAATTAGTGTGAGCGTCCGCAACCTGAAAAAGTATCTGCTGCCCGACAGTGACCGCCTCCCTCGCCAAACCTTACTCTGAAGAAAAGTAAGCATGGACTTAGAGTTTGATGACGCCAGCGGCGGGTCACACAGTGTGACTTCCTTAGGGTCCGGTGTCGGAGATGGCGGCGTTTTGCACACCGGCCGAGTGGTGTGCAAGGAGGTGTTTTGTCGAGCCCGATTCGTCATGAAAGGTACCGTCTATGTTTGTTTCAGTGACCGTGGTATCGAGTGTAACCGAGCCGGTCACCGAGGAGCTACTCGGTCCAACCAGGTGGGGTACTCCTTTGAAGGGGTGCTTAGACGCAATGACAAATACTTTGACGGAATCGCTAGTACCGCCTTGTCCCCCCACGAAACGGCCGTTCTTCAAGCAAAAGAGCGAGCTGAGGACGAAGCAGCGCTCCATGAAGGACCCGCCGAACGCTCTCCCGGGATCACGGTGGAAACCGTGAACATGGGATCGCCTGACGCAAACGAGCTTTTTCGAGTGGAAGCACCAAGGGAGCGTGGAGGGTCGATCTCCTTCGAAGGCGAAGAAGCCCCCGGCTCGCCGGGACCTTCTCGAGCGATACCGGCGGATCTTTCAGCACCCCATCCCGGGTCATCAGAAGATCGCTGCCCGCAAGAAAACACCCGAAGGCTCGCTGAACGAGGCAGAAGAGAGCCCGAAAGATCTCGGAGCTGGCCGCCCAGGAACGAGCTACCCTGTTAACTCATACTCTCCGTTCTGTAGAATCTCTTCATTCCCTGTCTGGGAAGGTGGGCGTATTCCGTTGGTAGATTCGATTCGATTCGATTCAGGTAAAGCTTTGGTTGTCTGGACAATTGGACATTTAGCCAAACTGAAAATCAGCCTAATATTACGTATTGTACGAGTAAAACTATCAGTGGGTTCATTTAGGAGTTAAAGAAAACGAAATTGATAAATACATTTGTGTTCGGTTCCAATTCTTGTGATCTCCGACTTGATGCCAGCACAACACAATGGTGAGACGGCTTCCGTTGGCGCCACCGCCAATACCGGTACTCAATGGCCATCTTCGGTGAAGTAGACTTCCCTGCAAAATCAATTATCGTAAGGAAGAGCCCAGAGCAGCAACAACCAACGGATAGCATTCAGTCTGCTTGAGTATTATATTCTCTCACTGTAGTAGCTGAGTGAGGTGTCGTCATTCCTGCCTGGGCAACTGGAGAGCCGCAGCCTAGCCCAAGCAGACCTAGTCTAGTCTAGTCTAGAGTCTAGTCTTGCCTAGTCTATAGTCTAGTCTAGCTAGTGAAAAGTCCCACTGTTTGTTTGTATTCCATCTTGGACGAACGATGGATGCAACGGACGATCAAGTCCGCTTACTGCGGCATGTGGAAGGTTTGGTCAAGAAGGTGCCGGGCAATCTCGTGTGCGCCGAGTGTCCCGAACGACATCCGACATGGGCGTCGTTGATCCAACCGGCCGTCAAGGGCGGATCGCGAATGGGCGTCTTTGTCTGCCAGCAGTGTTACCAACATCATTATGCACTTGGGCGATCCTTGTGCGAAGTCAAGAGTTTGAGTCTGGCGAGTGAATGGGCGTCTGACGATTTGGATATTTTGGCCAAGACGGGCAATCAAGTCGTCAATTCCATTTATGAGGCGAGTGAAGGATGGGAAGACGAGAAGGAAATCATCACCTTTGACAAAGACCAAGAATCCAAGTTGCGACTCGCCTACATCAAAAACAAATACCACGAACGCAAATACTTTTCCGAAGACAAATTCAATGAAATACAAGTGGGTTTGTCACCCATTTTTCAAAAGATTTTGGATCGGAAAAATGGCACTAACAACAACAACAACAATCCGCAAGAGGCGGATGCCGTGCCGCCCACACCACGGAAAAAGAATCGAAGACGCTTCAGTCTGACGGGTGGAGTCTGTAAGAGTCTGACTCCAGACGTGTTGAAACCAACCAAGAAAAAGCAACAACAACAACCAGAAATGATTGATCCAGCCATTGGAGCCACACCCAAGCGATCCAGTCAAAAAGGAAAGGCACCACCCAGTTTGGCCATTCTCATTGCCGATACGACAAACACTGCCAAATCGAGAGCGTCGTCTCCGCTCAGTCAGGGAGGAATCTCCATTCCCGAAACACCGCGGCGACGAGGACGACGAGCCAGTAGTAACAACAACGAACATGAAAATGATACTGCCGGTCAGCAGAAACGTCCTTTGGCGATTGATCTGGATGACGCAACGACGGACAGTCGCGACGACAAGCAAAAAAGTCCCTTGGAGGAAGCTGAAGAAAAGTCCGTGGGCGCTCGTCAAATGCTAGGATTAAACGGCAAGACGCCGTCGGAACGCAGTCTAGTAGTAGGATCGAGTAACTCGACCAAACGTCGATCTCTGGAAGGAGAACGATCGGCTTCCGTTCGCAATGTGCACGACGACGACAGTCGCCGCGGCATGTTGTCCAAATCATCCTCTCACCGAGATCTCAATGATGACAATTCCAGTCATCACCATCGTCACATGATGATGCAAATGCCGACTCACTACAACAACAACCAAAACAATTCGCAGCGTCCGCGATTGGGACGACGATCCTTTTCGCATCGCGACATGGATGAAGATGGCAGTCACAAGAGTCATTTGAGTCGTCGTCGAGAATCACTGGTCCACAACAACAACAATAAACGTCAATTGTCACGGCGCAGTCTTCTCGCAGCCAATAAGTCTCCCTCGGATCGCAATGTGTCTTCGAAATCCATGCGAGAGCATCGGACCGTGGATCGATCCATTAGTCGATCGCGCGATGGTACACGCAATAATAATAATGCTATTCCGAGTGGATCGCTGAGAGGTGCTCGACGCACGACATCCAACGATGGAATGGAGGGATCGCTGAGAGGATCTCGACGAACCAAATCCTTTGAATCACTGGAGGGGTCATCCATGAGAGGATCGCGACGAGGAGCTGGTGGTGATGCGTTGGAAGGATCCGTAAGAGGCTCTCGTCGAGCTGGTGCTGAGCCATTGTTGGAAGGATCCGTGAGAGGATCTCGTCGAGCAGCAGGCGATGCTTTGGAGGGATCCGTAAGAGGCTCTCGTCGAGCTGGTGCTGAGTCATTCGAGGGATCCATGAGAGGATCGCGACGTACTGCAGGTGAGGCAGTTGATGGATCTGTCCGAGGCTCTCGTCGAACAGCCGCAGAGCCATTGTTGGAGGGATCCGTGAGAGGATCTCGTCGAACAGCCGCAGAGCCATTGGATGGATCTGTCCGAGGCTCTCGTCGAACAGCCGCAGAGCCATTAGATGGATCTGTCCGAGGCTCTCGCCGAACAGCCGCAGAGCCATTAGATGGATCCTCGAATGGATCCGTGAGAGGCTCTCGTCGAACAGCCGCAGAACCCTTAGATGGATCCGTGAGAGGCTCTCGTCGAACAGCAGAGACATCGCTCCGAGGATCCACCGCCCGAGTACGAGATCGAATGGATTCGTCAGGGCGGAAAGAACGACGCATGCTAGATGGCTCGGGGCGACGTGAACGAACGGCAGAGACATCGTCGCGACGCGAACGAACCAAATCAGGTAGTGCATCACGACCCAGGCGTAGGTCCATTTCTCCCCAACCCAACGAGGAACCTGATATGAATTGGCAACAAAAACCGTCTTCGCCAAACTCCAAACGACGAGCGAAAAGCAAAGATCATGATCCGCTCGGTAGAGGTTCAGACCACAGTAAACGGCGCTCCCGGAGCAGCCTCAAAGATGATCTCAAAAAGAGCTCGGACCACGTACGAAAATCTGGCGGTGGCACTAGAAGAGTCAACCGGAGAGAAAGAACCACAACCGCCCGAAAAAGCAAGTCGCCTTCCAGACGAAAAACCATTTCGATTGATATTCCTCGGGATGAGGAACAAGCAGACGGCAAGTGGAAAACGCCCAAGCGTTGTGGCACCACAGGAGGTCTCATGGACGACAGATCTGACCCAACTGGGCTCCGACGAAGCCCGATGGACGCAAGTGCTGGTTCCAACTGTAGTGACAGCAACGAAAAACGATCCAGCGGTGGCAGCAAGTCTTCCGTTCAACGTACCAAGAGCAAACAAAAGTCATCTTCCAGTGACAAGCTAAAGAAACGAATCAGCGAGCCACTCCGTGATTCTTCGGAAGGTAAAGGGGGCAAGAAAGGCACCTCTCGAGTCAGACGTTCTAAGTCTGATCCCCTCGGAGAGAGTTCTACAGATGATGATGATACGGATAGCGAACCTGAAAAGAGATCATCACGAGACGACAAGAAACCAATGAAGACGACACCGTCCAACAAACAGTTGAACATGAGGCCATCGAGCAAGAAAGTGATGCGCAGTAATTCGACGAGCAAACTTGTTGACAGCGAGTTGGAAACAGAAACCGAGAGCAACGCGGAAAAAGCCAACATCAAGCAGAACGGTCGAAAAGAACCGTCGTCTCGCCCAATCTCGCGTAGCCAATCTGCCAGCAGCCTCGGTGACGATGGTGTGAAAAAGTCCGGTCGGAGAGGCAAGAAAAAAGACGAGAAGAAAAGTAGCGGCAAGTATAAGCACCTTGACAGCAGTGTAGGATGCTTGGGAGCGCTGATTGTTGGTAGTCGGGAAGGAAATTGCAACGGCATCGGCAAGAACGCTGCTGCCGACGCGGTTCGAGCAGCGGCGGCAGGAAGGAGCCCAATAAGGAAGAGTTCAACAATGACGGCACTTGATCTACTGGCAATGAATGAAACTCCCAGTAAGCGGGCATCGGCTGTATTCGATCTCAAGAACTACAACTACAAGAATGCCATGGTCAGTCAGTGGATCAAGTTGCCAAAAGCGGACGAAGAGGACGAGACTGCCTCGAAGGATAAGGATGACACCTCGGAACCAAAATTGAAGAAGTCGCTACCTTCCAGGAGTTCTGTGATTGTCAATCCTCTTTTGACCATGGCGGTTCCGACACCAACAAGCATCGACAAACAGGCGGACGCTAAAAGTGGATTGAAGCGTCATGCGATTCCAAAACGTCAAAAGTCATCCCCAGCCCCAGGAACCAAGACGGCAGCGAAGAAACCAGTGATTGATAAAATGAAGCAAGATAGCTTTGAGGACGCCGTTGTCTCTCAATGGCTCAAGGCTTAAACCATAAACGGTCCAAGATAGAATTAATGGCTTTTGCATTTCTTCGAGGTAGCGAGCTTGTCCTGTAGTGGAAGTGGTCAGCACTCGGGCACCGTTGTCTCGCGCACCCCGTACCGGCAATTGGCAATTGGACTGCCTGTTGGCCATGAGCACTATGTGAATCAATGTGTGGTTTTCACGGATACTTGTACTGTAGGAAGCACAACATACACCTGCAGCCAGGACTACTTGCTCTCCCGTCGGCGCTTGGCGCTGCACTGTACATGTAGCTACCGAAGACATGACTCTACAGCTAGTATGTAGAGGTCGAGGTGGTCATGATCGCTGTCATTTCGAATGGACTCCTCGCTAGCCTGTACTGGTAGACCATCACACAAATGAGATAGGTACACCGGTACCATTCGGGTACTACTACTACCAGTAGTAGGGCTAGCTGTAGCTTCCTGAATGATTCGATTCTGATTCGATTAGATTCATTCATCATTCTGATTCGATTCAATCGAATCGAATCGAATCAGATCGAATGATCAGTGGAATCGAATCTGAAAAGCGCAAACGTGCGTCCAAGTTCAATCCCAAAACGGCACTTGGCAGCTTGGCAGCACCACACAAAATCAAACGAAGTCCATTTCGAGCTCGAGTGAGTGGAACGACCGACCATTACATCGAAGATAGACCATGGCGTCGATCAAACGCGACGATATCAAGCAGCAATGGGAAGGGGACACAGAGTTTCCTCTAGTGTGTGAGACTTGTCTGGGTGACAATCCGTATGTTCGAATGACAAAAGAAGCCTTTGGCAAAAAGTGTCAAATTTGCGAGGCTCCCTTTACCGTCTTTGCTTGGCAAGCGGGGACCAAGGGTCGTTTGAAGCGTGTGGAAATCTGTCGCAATTGTGCTCAAGCCAAGAATGTCTGTCAAGTCTGTATTTATGACCTTCAGTATGGATTGCCCGTCAAAGTACGAGACAAGGTACTACGAGAGAGTGGATCCGCCTCTGCCGTCATGGCGCCACCGCAATCTCAAGCCAACCGAGCCTGGTATACGGCCCAGCAAGAACGCGCTCTTGCACAAGGTGCTGCAGCCAATACACCCAATGCACTCGCACACGCCAAATTGGCCGACATGGCTCGTATGGAACCTCGATACGAACGCAATCTGCCCAAGCTGTGTTCCTTTTTTGCCAAGGGAGAATGCGATCGAGGATCCAAATGTCCCTTTCGACACGAGATGCCGCGCGACCGCAATGACCCCATGTCCCAACAAAATACGAAAGATCGATTCTACGGGACCAACGATCCCGTCGCCAAGAAAATTATCGGCAAGCAGAAAAGACGAGAATTCCATGAACAAAAACAAGATGAGGAAGATGCCTACGAACGTGCCACCGCCACGGCATATCTGCGCTATGTGGGCGATCCTCCGTTCCCTGTAACCACCGAAGAGGATATACGAGATCAATTCTACGCCTTTGGAGAAATTCTCGCCGTACGAATCCAACCTGACAAGGGACAAGCGTTTGTTGAATACAGTCAACCCGAAGCGTGCGAATTGGCCATTGCCTCGTTGAATCGAAAAAATCTGCTCGAACGCATCATTCAGGTCAAATGGGCGCGGGCACCCAAACGAGGAGAAGTCTCGGCCGAGAGTAGTCCCAATAAACCGCACAACAACGCACGTCACAACAACCACAATTCACCTCCCAAAATAATTCGACCCGTGGCACCGCCCGGTGGACTCTCCCATACTAATAATAATAAGGTGGTCCCAAAGGGATTATTAGCCGCGGCCGTCAAGAAAGTGACACCCTCGGCCGAAGTGGTGGCCATTGCGGCAGCAAGGAAACAGACTGGGGGCGCGACCGCATTCGCGCGGCCACCGGGTGTCTCCAGTGCGCCTCGGCCGGGTGGGGGTGTTCTACGGGGGGCGGGAGCCAAGCGAAACAATGGCACTTGCTCCAAACCATACTATCCCAGTGCTTCTCCCTCCCGACTGGGCAGTAAATCGTCCTCGTCATGAATTCAATCAAAAAGAAGAAGGATTCTTAGTTGATAAATATTATTGGTTGAAGCAGTGTTTTAAAATTACATAAATTTATTGTAAATTTGGGAGCTGGTTATCCTACATGTAGTCTTTGCGTCAATTTCATAGGCTTTGCTAGCTAGCTACGGGTAACCAAGTTCGTATGGAAATCCATATATCTTGGGCGAAATAGAGAGGTCCTTCACTGTGGCCACATCAGATTGAGTATTATGAGCTTGAGCTGCGTCGGGGGTACCGGTACACGTACCGGCACTGGTAGTCCTTGTCAGTGCGGTACCACTACAACCACTGACTAGTGCCTTTGAAGAGTGATAGTGCAAGTCTCCGAAACCATCTTGCCCACAAGTCAATCCATTCAGAAACAAAGAATGCAGGAAGGCATCACAGTCTACATATGGGGACAGAGTTCCGAGCCCCATGCTGAGATCAAAGGTTGAGTGACGAATGATTCAAGCCTCAATCATTCAAGGCCCACACACAGCGCCGGTGCCAACGTGTACATGTTGTGTGCATGTGGATTGTGGAAAAAGGATGACCTTCGCGAAGCTTCTGCGATAGTCATCATGACCATTGACATCTAGCGCCCACGTGGCTTGTAAAAGCTTGCATCCTGCGCCCGGCTACTAGTCTAGCTAGTCAACGATAGCTAGCTAGCTCTAGGCCAAGGTGGCAAGGTGGTAGACAAAGTACCGTACAACCTGTACCGGTGGAGCGCTACCGGTGGTCGCCCAAGGCTGTTCAACGGTGTTCTTGGCGCAGGGGGAAGTCATTCACGAAATTTTGGCTCACCACCACAGGGCACCAAGTATCGCACAACACGATCACTTCCTGCATTCCAACGGTCCACTGCAAAGCAACAAAAGTGTAGGGACAAACATCTGCTCACCACCTTTCTTTCCAAGGGTCATCTATCTTGCTACCTTCATAATATTTATTTGATCAAAACAGGGGACTTTCTGGAACCATGGCTACTACTACTACTACCACCACCAAGACGATGACGAAAGCCCAGCGTCCGTCGCAGTCTCGTACTAGTACATCCACCTTGAAAAAGGCCGCGATGGACTCGTTTCGTCGTCTGAGCAGTAGTACGCGATCGCTGGATTTGGATTCCTGCGGCATGGAACAAGAGCATCACGATCGACTGGTGGCATGCATCGAAGCGCACAAACTCCGAGAACACTCGATTCAACAACTCTACGAGGTCAAACGGTTCGTGTCGAGCCGCAAAAAGCACGCAGAACACAACGGCAAGATTTGTATTACGTGTACCCGCCCCGAGTGCTTTCACAAGGTGTTTCTGTTAGTAGAGCCACAGCAGCATGATGACAGTACCCATGCGGGATGGGCACTGGAAGAGGCTCGCATCATGGATGAACTCAAGGAACACGAGACCAAACACTACGTGACCGTGGCCAAGTTGATACTCTGGTTGGTGGAAGCATTAATGGTCATGATTGTCAATTACTATGGTGTCTGAACGAACGGGAGCGATGCAGTGGGAAAATGCTGCCAGAAGCGCGCAAAACACAAGAAGCTCAGCAGTCTAGATGGAATGCATATTGGGGACGGACTAGCAAACAAAGCAAGGAAGATCCATGGCTCCGGGACTGTGCCAATTGAATCTACCTACATGAATAATGTATGTCATGCATGTTTCATCTGTCGCTGGGTGGGCGGCTGGCTAGCCAGTACTGTAGTAGCCCAAGAAAAGGCTACACACAACAACAAAAAGAACGTACTGCTAGCTTCTGCCATACATAATCTGTACTACATTGCACATCTGAAAGAGTATTATCTTGCATCCCCAAACTACTATCCAGCCATCATGATGATCCAGCCATCGGGTGCATTTTAGTTCTTCTGGGCTGATGTAGTCGGCGAGGGGTTGATATTGGTTCTTTCAGTTCTTTGCGGAGGCAATATATCCATCTCCCGTCTCTATCGACCATGGCGGCTGCCTTTGCCTCATTATTATTGACGCTTATTGATGGATGGTCAAACCAACTCCACTTCACGGCAACCCAGACCTCTGAAACCATCGACCGTTGGTCGCAACTGTGGTACGTGGTACTATGATAGCTAGAGTACCGGTACCCCATGACTGCGTTTATGCATAGTTCTCACTGGGTAAGCAGAAAAGGCCATTATGGTCATTATTCTCCTCACAACCTCTTTCATAGTTATCGTGTTTGCACCATAATTGCCCCACGGTCATACCGCACACCCAGCTGGATCCTGTAAATTCGTCCAGAATACATGTCATGAGCTCTACTAGCTACGGTACGGGTGGCTAGATCTATGCATTACATGTATGTATGCATAGCTTTCAGAATGTGAGCTGAATGGACACGGGCAGATTGCGGCTTTTGCAGTTTTGAAGCTGGCTTTAGCTAGTAGAATGGGAGCTGCACGCATAGCTAGCCGCTGATTTATTTGAACACTACTACTCGAGTATTAATAAGTAATAGCTGGGCGCTTACTGCGTTTTGTCGGCTGCCTCAACAAAACAGAGTGCTTGGGGTACGACATTACTGTTATCAGCCCTCCTGAATCGAATCCTCTTGTGCCCGGCCTGCCCATCAACCACTAAGTGGCTTTTCGAAGTTTTGCCGTCCCAACCCGCGACGAGTTCCCAATGTAGAATTAGGCGGAGGAAGTCCGCAGACTCCGCAGCAGCCAATTCGAAGCATGGGCATTGTCGTTGCCCCACCAAAGGCCGGATCATCCTACAAAAGTCACAATCAACGGTGCTCTGGATGGAGCGTGGCAGCAAAAAAAAGGGCTCTGGTTTGTTGTACAATTTGAATCGAATCGAATCGTCTTCTGGTCACTCGGTGAAAACACACGTAAGATCTGTGCTTTCGATCAGCGCAGCAAGAAGTGCGCCAAAGGCGAGAACTGGGAAAAGAAACTGCCGAATCCGGAGACTCATCCGAGACGGATCAAACAACGTCAACCTTCTGTGAGGAATTGATGTACATGTATGGCGTTGACGCATTTGGCTACCGTTGCCTTGTTCTTTAGAAATCCAGTCTATTGTGGAGTTTATCAGGAGCGAAGATCTAAAGGAGCACAGTATTCGGAGCTTGCCGTGCTTCGGTGGGAGTCAAGTCGAGCAGGTTTGGAAACTCGACCTGTCTCTCATCCGGCAGTCAATCTGTTGTCATCCTTTTTCATGCACAAGATGCTGCATCCAACAACGTGATGCATCATGAAGAAGGTTCACTGGTCTTCAACTTGAGAGTGCTGTTGGAGATTGCTGGCGAACAATAGCATTGTGGAAGGATCCCTGCCTAGCTGGTATTGCTACGTAGTAGATAGACAGAACAATTGACCATCAAATCATTCACCCAAAAGACAATTAACTGTTTCAGGTCCTTTCCATGTAATCAAATGAATAGCGTATTTAAAATGGATAATGTTCTCCTTATCAATTCAAACAGGGACAATCACAGCCACAAAACATGGAGGTACAATCAAAGCCAAGAACGCGCTGCTCATCCTGATACCATATACAGGAAGCATTCTGCAAGAAACAGAGGTCCTCAGGGACAGTGCCAGACAACCCAGAATTGCCAGTTAGATTCAGAGCGCGGAACGTTGTCAACATTCCAAGCTCGGAAGGAAGCTGGCCAGTAGCTGATTCTCAGACACCTCAAGCCAAGTACTGCTTGTCAACATTCCAAGCTCGGAAGGGATTGACCCATGCAGTTGATTCTCAGACAACACAAGCCGATGAAGGCTTGTCAACATTCCAAGCTCCGAAGGAAGCTGGCCAGTCAGTTGATTCTTAGACAACGCAAGCCGGGTAAAGCTTGTCAACATTCCAAGCTCAGAAGGGATTGACCCATGCAGTTGATTCTCCTCCAAATGCAAATATTTCAACATGGTCAACAGTCCAAGCCCGGAAGGAAGCTGGCCAGTCAGCTGATTATCAAATAACGATAACAAGTACAAATCCATCATTTGCAAGAGCTCAGAAGGAATGGGGCCGGTAAGCTGATTACGATACAAAGTCAGCCCACTCAACAAAGTCAACAGTCAAAGCTGGCAGTTGTCCCAACTCGGAGGGAAGTTGGCCGGTCCAGTAGACACCCAAAATCCTCAGAACTTCCAAGCTTGGCATCTTGTAGAATTCTTCTGGAAACTGGGAAGAAAATGCCGTGGGATGTGTTGAAGCCCCATATGGACTATGATCACCCCGGAAGTTAATCTGGGACAAGCTAGTCAAGAGGGTACTTTCGGGCAGGAAAACTGGCAGGAATCCATCAACACCAAGGCCTGAAAGCTCGAGAATTGTAAATTGCCCTTGGCTGTTGCAAGGTAAGGTTGCAAATTCACCTGCTGCTTTATAGTTTCCATCAACAAAAAATACAGTCGCACCGGAGAACCAATCACATTCGCCCTTTTCATAATCCATCCAACGTTCCTTGATCAGAGGGTTCCAGTGTTCTCCCTGATAGGAATAGAAGAAGGTTGCGAGAGCAAAGAGCTGAGTTTTCCTCCACTCTGGCAAGTATGTGATGTTCTGGTGATTGGCAAGCCAGTTCCATGCCTTCCACTGAGGTGTGTCACTGCTATTCTTGATGCTGGCAAGAGTGTAGTCAGGTAGATTATCCAACAGTTCTTCCAGAGCCCCAGTTGGGGCAAAGGATGGCACCTCCGATGGCTCCATGGATCCATATACAGTTGGCGTCTCTGTTGAGGTAATGCTGGTTCTTTTTGCTTTTGGGGGCCAGCCACAAACCCAATAATAATGGTAGCAACAAGGCACAACCAAATCACTGCTGCAACAAACAGCTTCTCTTTCGCCTTTCGGTTTTGCTCTCTTTGTTGAATCTGTTGTAGGTTGACGGGATCTGCCGATGGTATCATTTGCCCCTCTTCTACAACCATATTTGCCACTGCCAACTGTTGGTTGCCTGGTGCGTTGTTGGTGGTGTTGGTGGTGTTTGCTGTGGCATTATTGGGTTGACGTTGAGCCTCAAGAAGAGCATAATCCAAAGTAGTGGTGCGTTCCAAGTTTCCTGTTCCTGGCGCTCCCAAGTAGGCTCCCGGTTGAGATTCTAGTTGTCTTTGATAGGGTGTGGTTCGCCTCAACATCGTTGGCTGGATATTATCTTGTTCGTTTTGTGGTGTACTGTCTCCTTGTACCGGTCCATGTATGAACCTAGCATGATTGTTTGTGGAAGGAAGTCCTTGAGAGACTACCATTGGTGCGGCAGCATTACTATCACTTGGAGCCTTCTTGCTCAGTTTGTCTGCCTCATTGATCTCCAGTGATACTTGCATGAGAGCATGGTGTTCCTCATCATCTTGAGTAGTTACCTGCTTGTGAGTACTGGCCTTGAGGCAAGATGGACACGCAAGGTCCTTCATCTCTACTAGCTAGAATACAATAACATGGGCAATACTTATAATCGCCCCGACGCCCGCCACTTCCCCTTGCACCACAGCCTTTATTCCCATTTTAGCACGTTAGAACCCTCCCAATCGCAGCAATCACAGCAGTCACATTCATTGTCGTGCGCCCTCGCCACCGGCGTTGCTCTTACAAAGCGTGTCATAGCAGCACAAGCAACCCGCAGAGTAGCCTCCAATCCTCTTGTTCGTCTGCCTTTTCCATGTCACTCTGTTGCTCTGTTGCTCTCATTGCTGCTGCAACAAATGAAGGATGATTGCCACTGAACTTCGAAAGCCCCCGCTACGGCCTTCAGTGAACTTGAGTACACCATGCTCGCTCTGCTAGACTTGAACTGCCGTCCTACGCTTGTGAAGTCTCACATCTTATTGTTGTCATCTTACTGTAACTCTCACTCCTGCAATCGGCGGCTTAGTTTGCGAAAAACACCTAACCAGCTAGCTGGTTTCGAACTGACTACTGCTCGAGATTATGGTTGCACAACCCATGGCACTATCAAAAAGTCACCCCCGATCCATCTGCATTGGGTCTATGGCTGCATTGGATGGCGGTGTAGTGGGCAAATTCTGTGATCTTGCAGTCGACTTTATAGCTGATTCTGTTCTCTTTACCTTGGTCCAGCATGCGCATTTGAGAGTTGGACAACATCGAAAGCAACAACAACCACAAATGCAGTCTTCTTCCCTAACAATGGGACATCGGAGCTTGGCTTCATGAAGCAAGAAGCCACACCTCAAAACATGCAAACAGCAAATGCACCCGACGCCCCCTCTGGTAATTTTAAAACGGCAACAATCACACCTGCCACAGTCCTTGGTGCTAAATTCTTGGTGGAGACAGAAGCAACAGTGGTTCTGGCACTCCAGAGGGCAAAGGTAACAAAACATTTCACACCAAAGCTTTGCCATACAACAGATACAATTGCAGAGGCAATCATCATCACCGCCGTCGCCGTCGCCGCCAAAGCAACCCTCGTCGTCGTCAGCGCCGTCGTCATCGTTATCGGCATCCTCTGCATTTTCGTCGTAAGCGGTGTAACAACAACACAAACCACAGATCAATCTCCAATCCTCTGCTTCGTGTACCATTGTTCCTTTATTGACTTGTCTACCGGTAGTAGGGCGAACACTCCAGTTGGGTGTCGCTGCCTGAATTCTTGCGAAAAAATGTGTGTTGTCAATGATGACCCCCCTCTGGCACGAATGACTGTCGCAAACCTTTCCTCTTTCCTCCCTCCACCGTGGTGACCGTGGAAGCCTTTGGCTGAATTTGGGGCATTTCTGAAGAAGTTACCGGTAGGGCCAAATATGGGAGCGACAGTCCAAGGCGGCAAGGGAGCCAATAAACATAAAGCTTCATTACATATTCTTAGTCAATGTGTTAGTGCTACTAGCTAGGAACATCTACATAGTCGCTAATCCGTCGGGTTCAATGCTTGAGGTCTTATCCCATCCAACAGGTTTGAAACCAGCTGTGGCCTCCAATTCTTTTTCAAACACGTCATTCAAAGCTTCAAACTGGAAAGGTATAGACGCAAGGGTTCAGCATGTTGTCTTCAGAAGAATCAGAGCACTGGGTTGTCGGTGTGGCGTCGTTTCGGGCTGTTCGAGTACGTGTTTTCCGGTCAGGAGTAGTGGAACGCACAAGGTTGTAGGACTTCTTCAGGAGCATCGAATCATGAGGGCGAACGGGGCTGTACTCTTCGTCGGACGCGAGGGGTTGGGGAGCGTTCCCAAACGAACTCTCCTCGGAATAATTCGAAAAGCCGGAACTCTCCAGAGTGATTGTCTGGTTGAAGTAACTGTTGCCCAATTCAACGACACTTGTAGGAGATTTCTCGGTTAACTCCTTGTTGCCTCCCGTCTTGGAGTTTGCGGGTGGTGAAGCCACCGTCGGCTCTTCCTCCTCCGGGTGTTCAGGAATCGTTGGTGGAATCAATCTCCTTCGATCTCTCATAGAGAAGCTTTCCCAAGTGCACTCAACTGACAATGCCTCGGAAATGGACATATCTTTCAAGTTGGTTTCAACCTCTTGACTGATGTTGCAAACTTCGGGAACTTCTACTGGCAAACCAGTAACACTGTCTCGGATTCCCAAGAACGATACATCTGTACAGGACGCATTTACGGATGCTACAGATGCATCGTCTTCTGAGAAGCTTGTGTGCTTCGCATGAGAGCTGAATGACCCTATCGTTTGTGGAGTCAAGGGAGCGGTCGTACATGTTCGAATTGTTTGAGGAGTGCGATTGCGCGATGCGAACCGAGACTGTGTGGGTGTCTCCATAGAGACATGTCCTGGTGTATCGCTTGACAACGATTGCTCATCTACTGTTTCGACAACAATCACGTTGGGAGCCTTTTGTGTAGCGGCTTTTGGAAGCGACGGGAGTTTCTTCGCCAACTCGTCGAGGTCAATTGAAAGGGAGATGTCAGACTCTATAGCTCGCTGTACCAACGAATCGACCAATCGCTCGAAATGGGGATCCAGACTAGTTGGACGTTGACCATAGGAGCATAGTGACGTTTCTTGAGATGTATCATTTTGGGGGGTTAAGGCGCTCATTGCTTCTTCCTCCATTGATACTTCTTGCGCTGATGCTTCTCCCTCTAATGCAGCCACCTCCTCTGGTTGTTCTGCTTCATTGCAACTCGCTGCACTTCCAGGAGGGTCTTCGGTAAAAGTCAGGTTATGGAAGTTCTCGTTGGCGGGCGTGGGATCAGCTCCGGGAGGGTCAATTCCTTGCAACAAGTAAGTAATCATCCTATCCTCCAAACAGACTGTGTCATCAATTCCTCCGGGTGTGGGATCTGGTTTCTTAACAGAGAAGGGGCTGCCTGCTAGCACGTCTTCAGGTTCGAAAGGAAAGAGATTTCGTGCTTCGAATTGAGTGAAATCTGCCTCGAAAATAGCTGTGCCTTCCGGAGTGCCTGGCAGTCTCCTAGGTCGTGGGCGATTACGTTGATTCGATGATCTTGGTGGAGCAAGTGGCTTCAATTGACAGGCTTGTTTCTTCTTCTCGCGGGGTGTCCTAGTCTGCCGAAGGTTTGCCTTTGGCACTTGCTGGAAATCATATGAAGCGTCGTTGTCACTGATGAGCGCCTTGTACGAGGATGGATCCAAATTTTCGCTAAGACCGGGCACTCTGCCAATTTGCTCGACGACTTGCGTTTTCATTTTCAACTGCTTCAGGATCTCTTCTGACTGGGCTTCCTCGCGATCGTGGTCTGTGCAGGACAAGTGGCTTGGCTCGCGCTGTCCCTTGCGACGAGGACTACCGGTACGTCGAAGTCGATTGAATGCATTGACCATGCGTTTCCCAAGTGGAGTCTTCCTCCTTTCCTTCTTGCTTTTTCCTCGCATGGATGCCACTGAGCTCTCGGATTGTCCGACTTCATCTTGAGAATCCATCGACACACCAAAAGGCAAAGCCCATACCTCATCAGTTTTGTTCGACGCCTCTTGCATGCCAGCAGCCACGTGATCATTGGAAGTAGCAGCAGCAGTGCGTTCTGTGCCTGCATCCGAAGCGACGTCAAGCCCAGCGCCGATACGGCCAGAGATGACTGAACAATCCTGAGTCGAAGCGTCGCCGGCAAAGCCACATTCGTCGTCCGCTTCATTTCCAGACGCAATGCTAATGGAAGAAACGGAGAGCCCTGGCTGCTTGCAGGGTGTCGACTTCACAGATGAGGACTCATCAAACGGATGTGACAGCCGGGAGCTCGCACGGCTGACGTTTAGATTGTAACCAATGACAGAGAGTTGCGGAGAGGACTTGCCAATATCCATGCCAATCACTTGTTTCGAAGGCGTCTTCGGAATGGACTTGCCAATATCAATCCCGATCACTTGTTTCGTAGGCGTTGACTGCAAAGTGGAGCTACCAGTGCGATTGTCAATGCCAGCTATTTGCTGTGATTCCGCTGGCGTCGGGGCGGAATCGATTTCCTCAACGGGGTTCGCAGGTGTTGTCTCACTATCAGTCTTCTTGGGCGTCTCTGCCCTCTCTTCTCTGAGAGCTTTTGCAGTTGCTTGCAACTTCTTGATCTCACTCTCGAGCATTGAAATGTCAAGTTTTGCTTGTGCTTCGGCGGCAACCTCCAGAGACCTCCTTATCTGCTCTTGGATGTCTTGCTGATCAGCATCAACTACAGGGTCTTCTCGAGCATCTCCGCTTCGAGCGTCCTCAACGTCCACGACAGGGTCCTCTTTTGCAACAGATGTCTCTTCGGCAACAAGCATCTCTGCCACAACAGGCTCCACTTCCTTGACAAGCTCTTCATGTGCCCCCTCTTCCTGCCGTTCTTGGAGAAGCCTAGGCAGGAAAACTCTTTCGAGCTCCATCATGACACTGGCATAGGCCTCTTTTGCGTGTTTGATGTCCGAAACCACGGACGACGTGACTGTATCATCTTCTTCCGCTTTTGGAATCCTTGCGCTCATTGCATTCTGCATACAGATCTTTTTGAATCGTTCCACTTCCATGGCCGTACTATCGTCCAGGGCGCTTTCGTCAATGTCGCCGATGTCACCGTCAATGGAAGTCGACGAGTCGCGGTCAAGAACAACGCTCTTGAATTCGTGGTGGATGAGATCTGTCGCACTGACGCTATCGTCGCTATTCATCAACTTATCAAAGCTGTCGTCGATTTCTGTCGCACTTTCACCAACGTCCTCGCTGTTTTCAGGCTTGCCGGGTGAGTTTGGATCGTACGGGACATCCTGGGCCTGGCTACAGGCACCTTGCTTGGTCGGATCAGGGCTGGGACTCTTCTCACCCTCTTCAGGCTTCGTAGCCGAGGTTGCTGCTTTGGGGGTTTGATCACGAGGACCGGCAACTGCCGTTTCCGCAAGCTCTCGGTGAATCCCCAGACTCTTGCTTTCCGACATGTTAAAGTCACACCAGCTGGGTTGATCTGACTTGTCTGTGCTTTCGCGCCAAGACTTCTGACGAGCTACAAGGGGGGTGTCCTTTGGATGCTTGGCGAGTTTCGCAGGCTTGGCCACATGGGTATCTTGAGGATGAGCATCGGTTCCGTTTGACTTCTTTGCATTGGCTTGTTCGCCATTCTGGGCCCAGTCAGCATCCTTGTCGTTGGCAGATTTCAAACGAAACGGAGATATGCACCCAGTGTGAACAGCGCAGCTGTCATCGTCGCTGCTGGAAAGTTTGGGTTCTGTCCAATCTGCATGTGAGTCAGGTTGCTTCTTGCACGGCACGGCGACTTCAGTGAAAAACATTTCGCTGTGGCTGCTGTCGCCGCTGCTGTCAGCATCGTCAGCGAAAGCATTCCAGTCAATAGTTGAGCGATTTCCGTGAGGCGTGCCCGCATCCTCTGCTTGCTTTTGAACAGCTACATTTTCATCGACAGTGGATAGCTCGTCATCTTCTTGGTCGGGTTCTGACGAAGCAATTGAATCATCCAAGTCGACCGGCCCTGTATACACGTCATCTTTACCATCGCGTGTAATGTCAATCGTATCGTCCAAGTCAACAGGACCAGTGTACTCCCCATCCCTGCGACGGGACCTTGGTGCTTCCCAAAGAGCTGGCAAGCGCACTTGGGTGCCTTTGAAGGCAGGCGGAGGAAGTCTTGATGGTCGTTCAGAGAATGACTTGGGTCGAATCTCCTGCTTTGATGGAGGAGCAACCATATTATTTTCCTGTTCCTGATGGTTTGCCTCCTCCAAATCCTCCAAAATGCTTTGGACATCGGAGTCTAGTTGAGGCTGGTCGTTTTCTTGATCGGGGAGTCCTTGTGCGGTGCTTGCGTCAACTGCGAGTTCGCCAATATCTTCCATGGGCCCATCCATATCATTAAGCTCCACCACGGCACTTCCAACTGGAATCGTCTGGAACATCATGTCTGCATCCTTACTGCTCGCAGCAGACGGTACGACTGAGGTGGAAGCATCTTCTTGAGTACCTGCCTCCGCCGATGGCACCTCCTTTTGGGTTGGCTCCGTCAAATCATTTTCATGTGACATGCTGCTGTTTTGCCATGGAGGAATAATGCTTTGGAGCAACACTGTTGTTACGACGGAGTCTGCCTCTTCAAACTTGTTGGCGCCAGCAGAGCGGCGAGGGCTGTCTCCATTTGAGGGAGGGAGAGGAGCCACGTCCGAGGCATCTTTCTTCGAAAAGGACATGGATGCAGAGTACAAAGCATCCATAGATTCCGATAATGGCGGCGTAACCGTTTCAGTTGGCTCGCTACATGTACTGGTGTCACGTGGTGGTATGACATGTTGCAGCACTATAGAAGTGCTGGACTGGTTGGCCTCTCCGGATGATGGCTGCTTGGTGGCATCAAAGTGGCGAGGACTGTCGCGAACCGAGGCAGGGAGGCGCAGAGCAGGCATGGTCGTTGGCTTGGCTATTGGTGGAGCCGTTGCGAAGGATCGTTTCGAAGTCCACGCCAAGGAATCGGTCAAGTCTTGATCATCAACAGGTTTGCTGTACTGGCGCCCGTCGTTTTTGCACGCTTCATCAAAGGCATGCTGGATACGCTCTTGACGAAAGATCTGCTTGCCCTCGGTTGGGAACTCATCCTCGTCCTCCATGGCGGCAGTGAATGATTCGTCAAGAATAGGGGCAGCCAAAGCGAGCTCCGGTTTGTTGCTTGCGCAGGTTGTATCCAAGATTGAAGACGCCGTTCCAAGGTTCATGTCGATGGGTCCAACAGTGAAATCCTCCGCACGCAACTGCTGGTGGTGGTTCAACAAGGGCACTTCATCGCCACTCTCCTGTGATGTATTCAACTCTTGGCTGTTGCTCGCACTTGCAGCAGGAGGAGCAGGGTGTCCAAAGACTTTGACAATCTTGAATTTTGCTTGTAGTTGATCCTGCTGTTTTGGTGGAGTCGATGCAGGTGGCCTTGGTGGCAACAACGATCGGTGTTGCTTTGCGTCTTGTCCCTTGCTGCCGAGTCCTCTGATGACAGGCCCCGTTCGGGTTCCATACATGCGAGGTGGATACAGAATACAGTCGCTGCTGGAACTGTCAATGGAGTCGTCCAGATCAACCGCTGTAGCCGTGCTTTGACGTGCCGAGTCTTGCCGATTCGACTGGTCATCCAACGATGGAGTGCTCTCCAAGTCGACGTCAACGCTGCGTTTGCTTGTCTCTTTTTCCGTGTCATCATCATCATGCTCCTCTTCTTCGGACACTTCTGGGATGGTCTGATTACCACTACGACTGGGCATCTTGAGGCGCACTTCGTGCTGCTGGAATGCAAAGGATCCATCGAGTGCTTGATCCACAGTCACATTGTTCAAGTCCATGGCATCAGCCAAACTATCATCGACACTTTGTAGCGTTTCATTTAAATCAATCAGAGTCTGCGACTCTGAACCTAGAGATTGCCTTGTCTCAAACGATTCTTCCAGACTGGAGGGAAGCGATTCGTCCAAATCGACCGGTCCCGACGACGTCCTGGTGCTAACTGTTGGTTGTTGTTGCTGCTGTCGTTGTGCCTGCTGCTGTTGCTGGTGTTTTATGGTAGTTAGAATGAGCTTGCCACCAATGGGTTGATTCGATGCGGCGGCGGCGGTCGTATTCGTCTCCATGAGGATGGTGGTGGCGCAGATTTCCGAGGACGAGGAATCTTGGCGTTGCGGCGGCGGCGGTGCAATAATGTCATCTTCCTCCTCTTCATCATCAAACAACATGCCCTTGCGAAGGGGGGATGTTGTCGACAGGTCATCATCATAGTTTTGGGGTGCATCATGATCATCATGGTCCGGAGATCGGCTCTGGGGCGAATAGGACCAAGTGACGGGAGTTTTGGCTACCCTGGGCGGCGTGGCCAGCACAACGTCTTTGTGGTTGAATTGTTGCTGCAGTTTACTGGGGTCGTTGTTATCGCTGTTGTTGTTGTGGAGCACACGTTTGGCCAACTTTTGCATCATATTCTTCATGGTATGGGTGAGTCCTTTCTTTGCCTTGTTGTTGACAACGACTGTGTCAGCCTCTGCTTCTGCTTCCAGTTGCTGCTGCGTCTTGCCGGCAAAGGGCATGCCAGGAGCGCCACACAGAAATGGGCTGTCCACGGCATAGTCTTGTAGATAGTTGGGTTGATGGACCTGTCAAGAACAGCATTAGCATTGAAAGAAAAGACACAAAGAAGGAAAGAAAAGGGTAAGACAATGGTTGGCCGCCAGATGGATCCAACTACAAACAGGTATACTGCCACATACCATAATGGCCCTATCTTCCGGACTAGGGCGGCCACGGCTCACGCGGATCTTCTGAGGTGACGGTGGGGCGCCACCGGGTCTAGGACCAGGACCACAACCGCCGCGAGGGCTGCCGTGTCTACTGTCATCATCCTCCTCCTCCTCCTCGTAGTCATTCACTGCTTTCTCACCATACGCCGGTTTCCAAGTGACGGCAGTGGCAGTCGGGGTGCGAATGGAAGCTTGGCTGCTGTGGTAGGATGCGTTGTGGTAGTAATGAATGGCCTTGACGTTCAGTTCTCCCGCGGAAAATGTCGTTTCAAAGCTGTCGTTATTGTCATGGTCATCCTCCTCCCGTGCGGCTCTATCGGAAGAAGAAGCAAACCGGCTGCTCATGGTACGTGCCAGTTAGCTACGGTAGCAATCTTGCGCCTCTGATGAGCTCCGCAGTTCAATTGTTCTTGAGAGCCACAAATGAACGAATGTACGATCGAATCAAATCGATGCAACGAAACGCAACCCAATCCAACGCAACGTTCACACAAGGGGCTTATCGACCTAGCTAGTCTAGACTTAGCCTGATTGATTGTCTTTTGCTTTCAACTTGTTGTTTTCGCTTTCTCACTTTACAAACTCTCTTGCAAGCGAAATTTTTAACGAGGTTGGAGGCAACACCTTTTGCTTTGCTTTTGCTTTTGTTTTCTCACGGCCAAGCGACAAACACTGTGGCTTGCCGTTGTCCAGTTTCTTCTCGAAATTGTGAGTGGCGCCAAAAGACAGACATTTCGGAAGGGCCGAAAGTAGGGCAGGCGATTGCGGTCCCCGGTACTATCACTAAAGCTGATAGTTTGAAGGTTTAAATTGTCACACTGGTTCAATGAGAGCTAGAAAGTTTGATGACGCTGGTGGGCGTTCGTGGCGTCCGTTCGGATGAATGAAGCACAGTTGCTCTATTTGACAATAATTATTCCACGACGAGATTCCACGGTCTTGCTAGCTAGAAGGATTGAAGATTCAGCCAAGAGAACCCAGACAGAGAGACGATAAAGCGGCACTTTTAGAACGGGTGTCTAGCTAGAGATTAGGGAAGCTACAGTACCGGTATCTTCGGAAGCTGTGGAAAGAAGAGGTGAAATCCAGGGCTCAGTTCAGTGGGATCAAGGGGGGCAAACCGGGGACCAACAGAAGGGCCTAGCCATCGTGACATAAATAAGGGATAGAGAGCGGAGACATAGATGAGTGGCTTTAAAAAGGGTGAATGAGGGTTGTGTCCTGATGTAACACCATAGAAAATAGCAGTTGTTTGTGTTGGCAGTGGCAAGGCATTGCAAAAGAATTTTGGCCTGCGGGACAAGCACGGAACGTGATCCAGCTACGCAGCTACGCTGTACTTTTACAAGGATAGCTAGCGATACAAGTTTTATCCTGATCAGTCTACTTCTCATTCGTTCTATCTACCGGTAGCTTGGACGTACCCTTCCTGGGTTTCGTTTCGTTGAAAGCAAACAATTGAAGCTGTGCGGACAGGGTGCTTTAATAAGGACCTGCTTCATCCACTATTGCTGCTTCTTCCAGGAAGGCAACCAAGGCGCAGTGTCTCGGCAGTATTTCTCTTGCTGTACTTGTTGTGTCAGATCCCCATTTATTGTCAACGGTGCCTTGTCTATCTGTAGCTAGCTATCTGTTGTTGTTGACTTTTTTCTCGCAGTGGTACCTTTCGTCGTACGGTACGGTATCCAGCACAACAAACAGTCCGCGTGATTCATTATTTGCTCCTCCCTTCATTATTTCTTCGAAACCGTGCCGTGGATTGTGGACAAAATGCCTTGGCGGCAAACTTTCGTTGGGCATCATCGGCGGATGATGTATCCGCCAATCGTTCCAGTTCGAGTTGTCGCAGTTTGTCTTTGCGTTCGGCAAACGTCCAATTGTCAATGGATTGTTCGGTACATCCCCGTGACAACAATTCCGTCTTGAGATCTTCCAAATGACCAAATCGCGTCACCAGTCTGCCATATGGCACCAGACCTCGAGCTTCGTACATTTGATAGACGGCTTCTTCTTGTTCTGTTGCTATTTGGTCATCATCCTCCTCGACTTGTTGTTGTTGTTGTTGTTGTTGTTGTGCCCGTGCTACTCCTTGCATAACGACACTGGGTTCTCCTTTGGTGTCGTCTTGCATAATATCCACTATTATTTCTTCTTGTACTTGTTGTTGTTGTACTTGTTGTTGTTGTTGTTGTTGTTGCTGTTGCTGTTGTTGTTGTTGATCGTCTACTTGATGTTCGGTATGGGAATGCGAATGAGCGTCAATTTGCTGTTCGACAAGGACCGGTTGTGCTTGTGCCGACTCGAGTACCACTTGTGGTGGTGATTGTTGTAAATGATCCATAATTCCTCCATTGGTTGTAGTAGCCACGACGGCCGTGACTTCTTCGACGTACATGGCCGGTACCAATGGAACGGAGGCAGTTTCGGCCTGTACAATGGGTACGGATTCCGCTTGCGCCATGGGAGGGATCCAAGAATCTTGTTTGGGTGATGTTGTATTGGTACCGCCCACAAAAGGTGGGGAGGCCGCCGCAAACGACGACGTGGTCGCAGCAGCAGCTGTGGAGGACAGTGAGGATCTCTGATGTTGCATCAGATACTCTTGTGGTTGTTGTTGTGGTTGTGGTTGTGCTGGCGGCGGTTGCATGACGGTTCTATTTTGGAGTGGCGACATGTTGGGATTGGGTGTGTAGCTGATGGATGCTCCTCTATTACTAGTACTAGCAGCAGTAGCAGTGGATGCGGTACTGGATCGTCTACTACTACTGGTAAGTTGTTGTGCTCCATCCAGAATGACTTGATTGGGTACGGGTTGTCCACATGCTTTACAGAAATTGTCATCGTTTTGAATGGCGGCGCCACAGTAGACACATACGGGACAAGTGGCGGCTCCACAATGGGGACAAAAATTGTCTCGTTCGGAAACCATTTCCTCGCAGCAACAACAGAGCCGTTTCTTGCAGAAGGAAAATCGTTTCCGCCATGATTTATGTGTTGTGGTGGTTGTGTTGTCATTTTCGTCGTCATCATTGTCCTCACTGCCGTATTCGATTTCTCTCCAGTAGTGTACGAGTCTGGGTTTGATGTGTACCCAAAACAGATACATGGCTCCGGCATGCACAGTCGTCCAAAAGACAAATTTTGACACGTTCTTGACATGATTGTTCAAACTCGAATACGTCGTTTGATGGAGAGGATGATCGTGCAACTTTAGCGGCAAGAGTTCTTCGGGATCTAGTACTCTTGCTTCGCTACTGCTATTGTTGTTGTTGCTGCTTGAGTTGTTGTTGTTGCCCCGACTACTTTTGGGTGTGCCGGTACTAGTACGATGTGCCTCGGGGTATTCATAACGGACGTGCTGATGTTGCCAATTGGCCCAACGAACCTTCATGCGAGACAGTAGCGACGATGGAGTCGACATCATGGGGTCAATGAATGGATGGAAAGATGATGGATGTTTCTACCGGTATCTCTGCCTTTTCTTTCGCGTTGCCAATCGAACTAGTTGTACGTAGTACAGTTGAGGGGATGCACACTACACTACAGTGGTATCTTTGTAGCTTGGAAGCAGCACGTGCCGTATAGTACGCTAGACAGTTTGACAGTGGCGGACCTTGTCACGTTCTGTGATGTTTCTTTTTGTGGAGACATTCAGCCGGCTGTTCGCCATTGTTCCTGTTTGCTGGGTTTGGCAGTATTCGCCTTGATGGCTTCTTGACAAGTCAAGTCGTGTGGAAGCTTACACCCCTCTTCGATTGGTCAAAGCCATGTCTCAGTTGAATGAGAACCGTACCATTACAAAAAGATCCGCGAACCCAAAGATCCGCGAAGGCGACGAAAAGAGAAAGAATGTTGGAAAATTGTCATCCATACATCATACATCGGCACAACTACAAATCACTGCACACTCATACAACATAGTAAGATATCCAACCATGGCCCAGTCATGTTCCTCGGAGACTTCCTCCTCCTCTACTAGTAGTACGGCTGTCCTCGCCGGAGTGGCAGCCGTGGGGACCACCATGACACTGCTGTGGCTCAAACACAAAATCGACCAAATGGCAAAAAAGGCAGAAACGTCTCCGTTTCCAGGCATTCCCACAGCACCGCAAGGCCATTGGCTTTTAGGGCATTTGCCTAGGATGGAACTTCCCGATGGATTCCAAGGAGTGAAACACTGTTGTCACGATTATGCGGACACTAAAACTGGCTTGTGTGCCATTTGGGCTGCTACGGAACCCGTCATTTCGGTACTATCGGGTAAAGATGCCAAGGCCATTCTCATGGCCAGCAAGACCAAACCCGATATCCGTATTGTTGCCCTGCATTTCCAAAAGTTTTTGGGCGCGAAAAACTTGCTCTCCATGAAAGGCAAGGAATGGAAACTCTATCGAACGGCTGTGCACAAATCCTTTACACCCGCCATGATGGAACAGTCGCAACAGACTATCACCAAGGTGGGAAATACTCTGTCGGATTCTTTACTCTGTGCTTTGCAACAACAATCCAACAACAGTGAAACAATTCAAATGGAAATCCATCCCTTGATGAAAATGGCTACTTCGGATGTCTTTTTTGAAACCATGGTGGGGATCGACATTCAGGCGTGTCAAAAATTGGAATTGCCAGTCATGGCGACATCGTTTGAATTCTTGGCGGCCGAATTTCAGCGGCGGATTGGAGATCCATTTGATATGGCCGCTTCGCTGTACTGCATTCCCACAAGTGCCAATCGACAGCATGCCCGCACCACCAAGACTGTTAGATCGTTCATTATGGATCATTTGACAAAGGCGAAACAACAACAACAGCAACAAACATCAACCAATAACAATGTCCTGTTGGAAATTTGGAAGGCGGCAGAAAAGGAAGCCGCGGCAGTGGGAGAAAGTGTCAACATGGAGGCTGTCTGCGATGTCGCCATGACACTGTTCTTTGCGGGGTATGATACTACCAGCAGCACCCTGGCGTATACCATCTACTTGTTGGCCAAGCATCCAGACATCTATCAAACTTGTCGGGAAGAAATTGATGCTGTGCTTGGCAACAACACTGGCACCATTACAGGACCGGAACAGCTGCCGTACACGCAGGCAGTCATCTACGAGTCTCTGCGATTGCATTCTCCCGTGGATTTGATTGCACGCAGTTTGGAAAAGGACACGACACTGCATGGACATGTCTTTGAAAAGGGGACCACTTGTTTCCTTCCCCTCATGCTGATTCAGCAACATGAAATGAACTTTTCCCAACCACTGGAAATGAGACCCGATCGATGGGTTCGACCCACAACAAGATCGGCGGATGACAACAAGAGCCACAAGAGCCAATGGGAAGACCGACCATCGGATGATACTGCAAGCAGTGACATTGCTCCTGGGAATAGAGATGCCCTTGTGGCATTTTCCATGGGAGCACGCAACTGTGTTGGACGTAATCTGGCCATGAGGGAAGCCGTCACATTGCTGGCTTGCCTGCTCCACAAGCTCCACTTTGAACTGGTCAGTCCATCCTATGAATTGAAACCGGTCTTGAAATTGATCAATCAACCGGGTGATGGACTACCCATGGTCGTCAAAGCCAGACAATAAAGAAAAAGCACTCCACTCCAGTCAAATTCAGTAGCTTCCCAAAACACTTCCCTCTTCCATGCACTGAATGATTCAATCAGCACTACTAAGCTCCAGATGCCCAGAGGTTTCATTGTCTGATTACATTAAAACTCTTCCTCCGCCACCTGGAAGTTTCGGCGGACCACTTTGCTGTGTTTCTTGTAATTTAATAAAAACATAAGTATAATGGCTGATGGTACAGCCACTAGTTAGCAACAATCCAAAGATACCGGTACTGCTAGCTAGTAGCAAAGAACCAATCATCTGGCTAGCCTGCCAGGGTACGATTTGTTGCTATGGCTTTGTGTAACCTGGTACATAATGGTCCAAGGGGGTCAGAGTAGGGTAGTTAGTTATCTACGGTTGACAACGTGCCTCATGTGCCCAAGGCTGAAGCAGTTTGATTTGACCCAGATTGGCACCACCGGTAGTTGCCAACTGCTCATGCATGCAGCACGAGAACTGAGCGTGTCTCAGCACCTGCCAGCTAAGAGCTCAACAAGACTTACACTATGGGTGACCTTCTATGGATGGAAAGTCCCAGTGAATCCTTTAAAAAAACGGTGCAACCTTGTGCCTCTGGGGTTGAGTCGAAATCTCTGCAGCAACGAGGCCATAATATGATGGCAGAAGAAACCTCTTAGCTCTCTAGCTAGTGAGTAACTAAGGTTAGCCTGCGCCCAGCCATCTCAACATAAAAACAGACGGACAATGCATGACAAGGCAAATCACTGCATACTTTGAAAATCACCACGTCCAATGGCAAACGTTGCATCATCCTTGTTCGTCATTTGGCAGCCTCAACGAGAGTTGCCCGACAATCAGCGGCGCCCAAACAGATCAACAGTGATGCAAGAAAGATCCGGGCTGCTGCGTGCCGGCCCATGCACAGCTTGCTTGCCCCTCAAACATAGCGATGCGATTGTCTTTGGCAAGCCCGAGGACGCGCTGAAGTCTTCGCCAAGGACCAGAGATGCCCAAGAGCAATCTCAGCAAGCAAGATGTCTCTTCTGGAGGCACTGTAAGCGTCTTTTGGCTCCGTAATGCGAGCTTGGCGTACCGTACTGGTGTCAGGCTCTATCAATTTGCATAAATCTAAGCAATAGATTTATCCACAAACATCACTTCAGTTGTACTCCTCCTTCTCGCTTACCCGTACTAACATGTTCCAAACATCCCGACTGACTGTCTCTTCGTCATTCTAGTCAACTGCTGTCCATGAACCCAGTCGGATGCAACTCCAACTTGCCTTTGGCCAATGCGTGTGCTGCGGAGCCATCATTGGCAACAAATTCCCATCCGTTGCTGCCGAACTAGGCCCAGAACCTCGGCCTTGTCGGCGCAAAAGCCCCAAGCCTCGCTGGTTACTCTCCACGCAATCATCGTTCAGAGGGTTCATGGCTCACATGCGCCCTGGTTATCTGCACAGGTTGAACAAAGATTCTCATCTCCTGAAGACTTGAAGAGCAAAAATAGAAATTCCCGGCAACGTGGTGTTTGCCAGCAGTTTCAGCCAAAACTACCCCTCTTTGAGCAAGCAGATCTTGTATAAATCTGAAGGTAGGCTCTTCTTTGAGGATTTAGAGTCTATGCCTCTCCCTTCAGATTTATAGGAGAAGTTAAGTATTTAAGTTCGACACAGGATTCAAATAGTAGTCACTGTGGTTTGTATTGTACATTTGATTCGCTTGAAACAAGAGGGACTCCACGTTTTACACCAGTAGCACGTTTTTCAACTTTTGGTACGGTACCATGGAGGAGTAGCAGTCTTGCAACAGTAAATTTTCAGCGACAGCATTGCTTTGTGGGGCTGGGATGAATCAACAGCGTCCGTTCATCCTAGCTATTGTTGGCATAGGCAACGAAAGCACCAGCATGCGTCGCCATTCATAGTGGCAATTGAGGATTTTTGGCAACCCATCGGTACTGTTAGCATGCGAATAGAACAGTCGTCCCAAAATAAATCCACCAGTGGAACCTTGAGCATCGGCTTAGCACTCTGCTGCATTCTTCAAGGTGGAGTATGGTCAAGAAAGGGCTTTTTTCGTGCATCTTGATCAATGCTTACGTCGATCCAATAAGAGTGGTGGTTTCAGTACTGCACGGCGCAGCCTTTTTGGAAACCTTGGTGAGAAGAACTGTTTTCCTCATGCTGGGCTTCAAAGGAGGTTACTGGGGGCCAGCAGGACGAAGTTTCTTTTCCATAGGGGTGCAGCAAGAAAGGTTGGCCAGGCCAGCCTTCGAGCATCCCTGGCTGTCCATACCCGTACCAAAGCTCTCTTGGCTGGCTGGCCCAACCTACATGTACATGTACTATTGAAAAACGCACCTGGGCTAAGTGCTCAAAGTTTGGTCAGAAGACGCAAGGTAACGTACGGTAGGAATCTTCTCGAGACAGCCAACCCCCATCACAATTGTGAGGACTTGTGCGTACGAGAGGTTAAGTGAGAAGAATGGAGGAGGATGGTTTTGCTTCCAGCCTGGGTTTTGCTTGCCATAGGTCGACTCCTCAAGCCTTGGACCTCCCATTAGTTGCATTGTCCAACAATCGTGTCCTTGCATCTAGACACAAAGCAACCCAGCCCAAGAAACAGCCACCCCTAGTTTCAGGAAATCACAGTCTGTACAAGTCACAGTCGAGTGACCGATCACAGATGCTACCTCCTTGCACCCCTCTGTTTCTCATTGGATAAGAGCCGTTATAAGATCTCGACCGTCAAAGGTCCGGTCACTCTTCGCCATATTTTCTAAAAACTTGATGACTGCATTGGCTGGTTTGCCTAAGAAACCACTTGAGCTGTGGTGCTGGTGCTGCTGTGTGCCCATGGTTCGAGAAGTTGATCCTCCTCACTTCAAAGAACCCCCACACCCCCACATTTTAGTGGGAGTCATGTTCTGGATTTCGTAAGCTGTGTTTGCTCTATCTTGTGTAAAAACCTTGATTTATCCCCTCTTAGATGACTGAAACCTAATAGATCTGATGGTGAGAGCCGAGACTGAGAGGCCAATTATGCGATCTGAATCTCCAAGTTGTTCGCTTTGGGGTAACGTCACAACTTCCAGCAACAGTTGAACGACAAAGCTTTGACCCCAGGAAGCTAGATTACTAACAACAGCATTGTCCTCTCCCTCTCATAATTTGGCTGCCAGAGTGAAACATATCGACTCTCGTCTCTCTTCTGGCTCTCAGTTCTTTTGCAACAGTACAAAACTTTGCGGTTTGGTTGCTACCCCAACATGAATATTTCGTCGCCAACAAATTGTTCTACAAGAATGCGTTGTTTTCAGCCTCCTGAGATGATCATTGTTCCGTTGACTCCTACCAGAGATGCGTGCCAGACCAAGCCGGTGGATGACGACGATGCTGAAGATGTTCCATTCCCAGACTTTCAACGGCGAGCAAGTAAGGAGATGAGTGAGTGCGGCAAGCCATTGCGCTGGTTGCCCATGGAAAGCGACCAAAAGTGCCAAGCATTGTGTTCAGTTCCAAGGTTTCCTCGTCGTCAAGCCAGCTTCCGCAACCACGCAAGTAGCGATGCTGGCTCTTGCTTGTCAAGAAGTAGCGGCGACTCCGCATACTCCTGGCTGAGTGAATGTGAGCAGCTGTCTATTGAGATTCTTGAAATGTTCAAGGACTTGGAGTGTGAACGCTCCCAAGCAGGTGCGAGTTCCCGCCAGTCCAGAGGTAATCGATCACATTTTCGACGTGGGAGTCGCTGTTCCACGGATCATCAGAGCATCAAGAGTGCTACATTGCCCCGAAGACCCTACCGCCAAAAGAGCTTTGGCCGCCAAGAGAAGCGTTGGTCAGCTTGCACTGCAGATTTGAGCTGCGACAGTGTTCCTGATGCCCCTTCTGATGCCAAGACGACTACATCTTCAACGATTACTACTGCTCCAAGAGGCACCATGCCGAAAATGCCACGAAGGCAAAAGAGTGGTGATGTCCAAAGGGAGGTAAACACCAGAAACTAAACAATTGCTGGTCACCTTTGCTAAGCCGATTTCAGAACAGCTCTGACATGAAGTAAGGGAGGCAGCGCAAGAATAAATGCATTCTTTCGCAGCCATGTATTCGATGATTGTATAATAAGACTACTACTACCTCTATCTATTACTTAACTTTGCATCTTACCAGGAGGGCGCTACCAGGCTGTTTTCTTGTCTCTGGTGCATAGACCTTGTTGTTGCCAGTAGGTACCAATGGCTGCGGCCAACAGTCCAGTCTGATGAAAGCTTAGAACTCAGCTGATGCAACCTCTTGATCAGCACGATGACACCCGCTTCAGCCATTCAAGTTGTTCATACATGTACATTTACAGGATCCGACCAATGGACATGAGATCCTCCATTTTCCTTTGCATTGCCATGCCAATCTGTCCCGCTGTAGCTGAGATGACTTCTTGGCAGTGGTACCAGAGGTACTGTGTCAATATCGAGAACTTCACGTTGCAATCGGAGCCATGAAAAAGTCATAAAGCTACTTATTGCAGAACGCAACCCTTCAGTATCGATATCTAACAGGAGCTCTCTCAATGCCCTCAGCAGCTCTACATTTATAGATGTCTCGTAAGAATGCCTATCAGCCCCCCGGGTCCACGGTAATTTGAGCGAGTCACCTCCAACAACTAAATCGTAGCCAGGCTGTCATTCATTCAGTCCTGGTTTGAATACATTCCAAGATCGATTGGACAGGAAAGTTATTTCTAAAGGTACCAGTACATACATTAGCAGCAGTCAGCTCGGAACCAAAGCAGCACCGAGCAGGCGACAGCTCTATCGGTGGTGATGTCTGACATCCCCAGATGCATGGTCTGTGCCCAGCAACATGCAAAAGGAAGCGAGAGTCACTCCAGGGGCATGCCAATGATCTGTGGCCATCTTCCCTTGGTTCATAGAGGACCCTGGGAAATGCAATCCACGGCCCAACTGCGGATTTGACGGGGGTTTAGAAGACAGTTAGCAGAGGCTAACCGCAGAACCACGAGAATGGCACGGTCACACTTGCAAAAACACCTGCCTCAAGTGACAGAGCCGGCTGGACCGGGACTGAAACCAGGTCTCGATCTCGCTATAATTTCGAACAGGGCAAAGGTCCCAAAGCACAATCAAGACTCTTCCTGTGGTAAACGACGAGAACATCGCTGTCGCAAACTAGCTAGCTGGTCCCGTCGCTGCTCTTCTGTAATACATTGTCCGGTAGATTAGTGGAAGCACGAAAGCTTCAAACAAGGAACCGCTCAGAACAATCGATGCACTCTAAACAGATTCTCGCAGAAGCCACCAATCCCTGACAGCAAAGGTTAGTCTTCTTGTACAGCTCTTTATACACGATACCGGTAGTACCAATGCCCATTTTGTAGGAGGAGCGATAAGTGAAGTTAGAGGCACAACCCAGAGCGTGGAGAACCAGACATGTTTGATAACAGAAAGGTATATCTGGCTCTGGAAAGTGTGGATGTCGCTATGAACCATGAAGTCATGGTAGATGTATTCTATTTGTCTCTATTGATCTAACGATTCGGTGCTCGCGGTCACATTCCTGTGCGAAACCGCCAGGGATGGGTCGAATCGGGGTCTGCCTCTCAAGCTGGCACCGCGCATCTCTTTCCTGACCCCCATGGAATCCAAAGAACTTTTCATCGACCCTGAGGCAAGCATCTCGGGATGGCGTTCCGACAGAGACTCTGTCACCGCCAAAGCTCCCCAAGTAGTCCAAAGAACACAGGACTTGTTGAAGTACATGTGGGCAAGATGAACCTGTATATTGTTCGATTTGATGTACTGGAAGCACAAATAGTTTGCGAGAGCGGCATCCTGCAAGAACCCAACTCGGGATGCCGAAACAATGGCATCGTTGTACATTTGAAGAACGGCATCATGGTTCATTCTACCTTGAGCGGCAGACATTTCTGCCTCCATGATTTGCAGTTTGTGGACCAAGTTGATTGCCGCTTTCTTTACCACTTTGCGAAAGATCTTCAGTTGCTTCTCGGCTTTCCTCTTGTCTGACATCTTTCGAGTTTGCCGGTAGTTGGCAATGAATATCATTCCCAATATGAATCTTCGGGAGAAGAACCAGAAGGCGCCTCCCATGATCCCAAGCTTGATCTCCCACAAGGTTTCGGCAATCTGGTAATGAAACGATCGCGTCAGCGAGCGCATGGGATCAGAATGAAGAATGCAATATAGTCGTCTTACCTCTGTGGCTGTCGGTAGATCCCCCAGGTAGTAGGCTATCTGCATCTTATATGACTGAATCGACTGTTGCCCTGTGACGACTGAGCCAGCTTTCTCTAGTGCTCGTCTCTTGGCCATGGCAGTACCGTCTTCCATGTTCAAGGGATCTGGGTCCCTTCCCGTTAGGTTAAGCACTTGTAGAGTACACAAACAACCATGAGACAGGGAAACTAGTGTTGGAATACGGCACCACCACAAACAATCGACTTACGGCATTGCCACAGAGGGGAGATAATGAAGAAGTAATAGGGCTGATAGTATTCAATGTACTGCTGTAAGAATCGTTCAACATCCTTCAGCAACGGTTCCAGTTGTAGTCCAGAGTAGAAGTAGTTGACCTGGTAGGCGCAGGAGGATCGAAATGCAGCACCCACCTTTCCAAACCTCATACTGGTCTTGTAAGAAGCGATGAAGCAATCTAGACATTTGGGCACGGGCTCTCGCCACCATTTGCCCCCGTTGAAAAGCACATGATGGATGTTGGCAGTGTTTTCGTCAAGGCCACCCAAGCGCTTCTCGATGATCTGCTCTGTCAGGATGCACAAGCGATGCGCAATCTCAATGTCGTGGCTGTGCGGCCCAGAAAAGAAGCTAGCTGCATTGGCAAAGCATTCCGGGGACGATTTTGCAATCCCATGTGTCAGAGTGATCCGAATCATTCGCCAAGCAACCACAATGGAAAGACCTTCTCGACCAATCTGATAGAGCGGCATTATCAACTGTTTCAACAGGATCAAGATACACTCCTGCTTTGCATCGTTCATGAGGGGGAGGGACAAGATTGCGTCGTTTGACATGCTTCCAAGCCGGCTTTTCATTTTCCTGTAGGAGAGCCATACCAGCAATGTACTTGGTTTGTCAGGCAGCCGCTCCCCCAAACTTTGCAGCATGTCGAGTGCGAAAGAGATCAGAGCGTTTGTATCCTTTTGGAATTCACGGGCCTGCATGGTCGTAGCCAAGCAAGGTTGCTTGTCTTGGTACGATCGCGCATGATCGAGGACCTGCTGAGCTGCTGCTATCGATTTTTCGTTTTCTCCCAAGCAGTACGTTGCCCGAGCGAGCAACGTGTACAACTTGACAACCAGTTCGTAGCAGTCCTCATCGGACGTCCATCGATATCTGGAAGCAGGCGCAAACGCCGACAAGCGAGCTGCTGCACGAGCTGCCTGGTAGTTCCATCGTGCAAGTTGAATCTTTTGCTCTGCTCTGCATCGTTGGACATCCGTCCCCATATTCATTTTGTCCACACTGGCAAAGTAGATTGAGTTGTCTTCCTGAAGTAATCGTTTGTGTTTTTTATTCTCTAGCAAGCAGGTGCCAATTGTCAAGTTGTATTGTCGCAGAAGCTCTGGATCTTTAGGCTGAAAGCCCTCCGCAGCCAAAAGAATCATGTCATGGGCAAACCGATAGCATTGGTTGTCAATCTGAATAAGGAACTCTCCTTCTTTTGCCCTGGACAGGCAGTCTTCCAAAACGGCGTCATCCTCAATCTTCAACACAGACTTTGTCGCATGCATTGCCCTTGCATCGAATTTGGCTCCAAAGCAAGAAGCCAGTCCCAGGACAGCCTGGACCTTTTCGGGTAACTTGTGCATTCTGGATGTAAGTGTTTGCACCACGTTGTCCTCAATCGACGATTGGCTCTTGATTGTTTCCAAATCCCAATTCCATTGAAACGAACTCCAGCCATGTACCAAAAGACCATCATCCTGAAGCCTTTCCAAGAAATGCCTGACAAAGAAGGGATTGCCATGGGTAAATTGATGGACTGTTACCGCAAGTTGTTGAATCTTAAGACCATCCTGTTTGGTGGCCTCTTGGAGAAGTTGTTGGATCTGACTTTGCGTCAAGCTCTCCAACTGAATGGTTTGGAACTTTCTCTTTTTGGATGACAATTTTGTGTCGTTCGGTTGAAATTGTCCTTCCAGTTGTGTCCTCCACTCGGCAAAATTTGGATTGGCAGTGACTTCTTGGGTCCGAAAAGTCCCGACAAGAAGTACGCTTGTCAACTGAGGGTCAAGTGCTATAGTTTTGAGAATTTCCAACGATGAGTCGCAGCACCAGTGAATATCGTCCAGGTGCAGTACGACCGGGCATACTGTGGACACTGTCCATATAAACGTCTGAAGCGCTGCCGTTAATAGCGTGAGTGAGTCCTTGGATAGAGTGTCAAGATCCTCAATCGTGTTGCTGCTGATGCAAATGCTACTGTCGTCAACCATTAGAGGCCCTTTGGAGTCTAGCAGCAATGCCTTGATAGTAGGTGCAAAGGCTGTCAAGGTTTTTGTTTGATCCTCTGGCATCTTGTGAGCCACCAGGGACTGGACAGTACCGGTAAGGCTGTTCACATCCGGTATGGACATGACAGACGCTGCCAGATCTGCCACTAAAAGTCTCAGCGCTTCAAAAGGAGCCGCTGTATCCGTCGACGCTGCGCGTTGATCATACTTGGTTCGCGCCAGTGCACACTGGTTCATCCTCGTGCCTCTTAGAGCTTGTGAAACCAGTGTTGTTTTGCCTTCGCCACTGCTCCCTCCGACCAGGACCACTTGGACCCAACCTTCATCTCGCACTGCTCCCAACGCTTCCTGGATCTTGATTTCTTCATTGAGTCTCGGCACCAACGGGATCCTTAGTCTTTTCTTGGAACGTCGGCTGTCGTCCATCGTGGTTGTTGTTGGTTGCGTTTGCTAGCTGGTTTGGAAGAAGGTTTTCCGGTGGTTCCTCTTTGTGTCTTTTTGCAAGCAAGGATTTTTCTGTACCGGTGCAAAGTTCGGTTTGATCGGTAAGCTTTGTGAAATCACTCTAATGCCCATTTTCCTTTGTAGGGTCACTTCCCATGTCTTGGTCATTTTGTTAAATGTGACCACTAAGAGTAGTACTCCTTTTTGTCAGTTTGCCAGCTGGCAAATTCTCGAATGAACGGTAGCGACGTGAGCAACCTCAAACTTCTTTCTCGGTGGACGGATGAGGATCCCGGTTGTTGTCTTCAGCCTCCTGCACAATGAAGGTGCGAAGGCAACGACCTCTAGAGCTACGGTACGGTAGCCAGCTAGAAATAAAGCTCAACGGCGTATCCAAGCTAGGATTTTACATATTTAAACTATGGTGCCATTTTTGCCATTCTGCCTCAATACGCAGGGGCACTTCCTGGGACCTCCTTCATGGAAAACATGAGAATATGGGGAACATTGCCATTCTCAGTTCTTCAACACCGGTGGCTTCAATCTCTAGCTTTCCTCCTCCATGAATCTCACATGCATCATGTCAATCCGATTCCTTTCCATTCACCGTTACTGAACCTTCCAAGCAGAGCAGGTGAGCCTGACGCCCTTCTGGAACATCATGGACAACCTTCTGCCCCAAGTCCAGTTCTGCAGCATCAGCATCTTGGGAGATTTTTACAGGTGTATCAACCTTGACATTCTTGTTGTCGGATACAAGATGTTGGAACTGATTCTTGCGGGCATCAGCAACTTCCATAGTTGGGCTTGAGCCCACGGTTGGAGGGGAAATCCAGGTTTTTGAATGAAGAACCTCAAGGGCTTGTTGCCATGGTTGAACTCAGAATGAGTCACACCCCTACCAGCAGTCATGAATTGGATGCTGCCACGGCAAAGGTCTCCTTAGTACCCATGTTGTCTTCATGTGACAACTAACCATTGACAATGTATGTGATGATTTCCATATTCCTGTTGTTGCTCAGAAGTCAAAGCGGGTTAGAAATGCTGCCAGCATGGGTGTGGCATTGACTTAACTGTGAGGGTGTGCTCCAAAGCCACGATGGGGTTGGACGAGATCATCATTCATGACACGCAGCCAAAACTCCAAAGTTTGCATTGGAAGGGTTGTGATATTCTGCAAAAGAGTAATGGAAGCAACTCTTCAGCCAGGAGCTGCTGTTGGTCCATTCTGGATTGTTGGGCTCATTGTCACCTTTTCCGAACCAAGCAGGATTGGGTTCAGAAACAAAGAGCTTATCAGATGGAATAATTTTGATGGCAGGGCTCATGGTAGCCTTGCAAGAAGTGGAAACTGCTTTTGATGTAGCTTGAGTGGTCAAAGCAAAGAGAAGATACAATTTTTTTGGCCCAGAGAAAAGTTGGCAGCTAGATCTGTGTGTTGTGTGGGAAGGAATCTTTTTATATGTTGGATGGAAAACAAAAGGCGGGCCTTTAAGTTTTTTCTTTTGTGGTTTTGTTGTTTGCTTGGGTTGCCCTCTCCGTTTGGTCTGTGAGAGCATAGGGAGGGATATAGCAACCCCAATGGCGTCCAATTTGTTGTGTTTCGGCGAAGTCGTGCGACCTCGGGATAAGGTCGCCGCTCTAGGACATCGCTGTTTGTGGAGAAAGCGTGCGATAAATGCCCATGGTGTCAATTATTTATGTTTTTTACTTGCAGTGTTGCAATGTTGTCCGCAGCGCACAGATTGCAGAAATCCTTGTGGCTGCGCCGCCTTGTTGCATTCGTTTGGGCTCGCTACATGTACCGGTACGGTGGTGATCACGACGGAGGGCATTCCATACCGTACACCTTGGAACTCCATCTCTGTGACAGACCTACATTAGCAATTTCAACAATAACTTTGGAAATCATCCTTGTTACTACTCTTAATGACTAGTCTACTTGAACTTTGGCAAGGAATCAGAAGGTTGGATGTATTGTCCTTGAGTCTGCGCAATCTTTGCTTTGGCGGCATAAGCCTCTGCAGCTTTGCGAAACTGCTTTTCCGTACGGAGCTGTTCAATGGTGTCCACACGGAACCCCTCTTCTTTCGAAAACGCATAGTCATATCCAAACACATTTAGGAGAAGCATGCACGTGAAGAAAGTTCCAGCAGAAAAGACAAATACACTGTAGACTCGAAGGAAGAAAAGGACTGCCTTTTCAAGTGATTTCGGAACCTTCATGGTATTTGGTGGGGTTGCAACCGATTCTTCCTCTCCTGGCACCAAAGCATTGACTTCGGTTGCCTGGTTGTCCAGGTCAGCGCTCATTTTCAAAGACGTCGGTTGGGACGGCAGCGTTGGCCTGGGCTTGTCGAGAAGGGGGACACTGCTAACGCGACTGCTTAGAGCAAACGACTCGGAAGGATTCACACTGGCAGCCAAGAAGCACAGCCAAGTTGCCACGAGGGTGACGCGATGTTTGCTGCTTGGAACCATCATTGTTTCTCTTGTTTCTCGAACCTTGCTTTGAGCTTGCAGAAGTAGATCACTGGAAGCAAATTTTGTGGTTGTGAGTGTGATCGTTTGAAGCCCATCAATCCTTCCTGATTATTTTTCTGAACGTCAGGATCCCAAGGAAGTTCTGCTTGTCATTGGTGGCGATGACTAAGCTTCGCAAGCTATCCGGATAGCTTTCAGTTCGTTCTGCTCCTCGCATCCTCCCATCACCCCTCAGAACATGACGAAAGGAGAAGGGATGAAGGGATGTTCTGGGATGCTGCACTCCATCCACAGGTTCTTTTTCAAGTAAGTGCGTGTTAATTCCGATGATGCCGCGGGAGTTCTGGAAACAGATCCTTGCCAGAACCTCGGAATACAAGGGGGTTTCACTACGTACGACGGACCGGTAGGCTGGCTCGCGCAGGGAAGTTTTCTGAGTTGCATCAGCAGGAGCCAGCAAGCAAGCTACCGGTACATGAGCTGCTACATGTAGCTCTAGCAAAGCCACGATGTACGATTGGACGAGGTTACTGACTCTCCGGTGACGGGCCAGACAATCTGCCAGCTGGATAGATAGAAGTTAGGTAGTTGGGTGGCTCGGAATCAAGACCATCAGTGCATCACGGACGTCAGTCCCAAGAATGATGCGTGCTCCTTTCTGCCCAGACTCGGCGCGCTACAGGGCCCTGTACTGCGTACTCAACAAGCTAGCTTGCTATTGCCAACAGAAACATTTGTTCCTGATCAAGATTTCCAGGGCTCCTTTCTGCATCGAAGACGATGGCAGGTGCGGCCATCCGGTGGCAGTTTCTGGCTTTGATGATCATGGGCAGTCCACAGTCCATCCACAGGTTGATTGACCAATTTCAAAATGGGTTTCACTTTTAAAAATCCCTGGCAACAGATGGGATAGGTGTATACGATCTTAGAGTCTCATAGATGACTTCTTGTGTATAAGGAAGATGCTCAGGGCCTTCAGTGCCAAGGATACCGGTAGCATCAGTTTCCTCCAAACAGGCTTGGCAGATATCCCCATTCTTGGCCAGCAAGTAGATAGCACAGGTGAGAGTGGCACTGATGGTGTCACAACCTGCAAAGAACGATGTACAATGTCATGGCAACCTCACAGGCAATCTCAACGCCCCCACTTGATCCAACAGCAGCTGCTTCTGTCTCTGCACGCTTCCAAATGTCACAGAGGATGTTTTTACTAGCATTGCCATTGCTTGTGCCAGATGATTGCTGTTGAAATTCAGCCATGCAGCTGGTCACGGAGATAAGACCGAAATGGTATGGCTGGGCTGAGCACGTTCATTGTTGGGCAAGAAGAATTACAGGGAGGCAGCCAAATAAAGCCAAATAAAATGGCAACTAGATGCGTCGACGACAAAACTCACTTGCCAAGTATCGATCGATTTTACCGCGACTGGCACTTCCAGACGAGAGCAAGACTTGCGGATCTGTTCCCAGTATGGTAACAAAGAAGACATGGATGGGCCCCACCCTCTTATGGCAGTGATATGTATCTTACAACGGTACAAAGGAGAGGCACACGAGACGAGAACTCATAAGGTACTAACGGCACGATAGCAGGAGTCTTTGCTTCGAATCGGATCTAAAATGGGGCCCCACAACCCCAATGGCAGTGATCAGTACCTGGTACCAGTACAGTGATTCTTGATCCCAGGATATTTGCATACATGTGTCTCTCTTTCTGCCTGACTATCCGGAACCTGCGCTACCACTGCAGCGTTCCGTCTTCACAAAAGATCGAGCCGATCAAGGAAAGGTATATATACCATACGCGTACTTCTACTGTATAGCTGCAAGGAGAAACGGTCCTTGAGCTTTAGACTATGATCACTTTGACTTGGTAGCTTCATCTTTTCTTTGTGCATGTCAGCAATCACGATTGGACCGCACTGTTGCTGCAACCGCTTTGTTTCGAGTTCCTTGTCATGGCGCGACCAGCCAGCTAGTCCCCAATTCGAAAAACAACAGACATGTTTTCTTTCTTCTCTTCTGATCCTTCGTCACATGCCGCCACCTTGGAGTCCTCCGATTCTTCTTCTTCTTCGTCAGTGGCCGCATCGTCTTTTGGGTCTTCGTGGTCGTCCCGATGATCCGCCATTTCTTCTTCCTTGTCCTCTGTATGATTGTCATTCTTGTCTTTGCTTTTGTCTTCCTCCTCTTGTGTTTCGTTCTTGCCATCGTCGTCATCCATAGGGTTGTCCCCCTTCATCCAGGCTCCAGCATCAGTCGTCCATTGCGCTCGTTCCGCCACGGGATCGAGAAACACGTTGCGCTCCGCGTGAGGAACGCCCCAAATCTCTCGTTCGGCAATCTGAAAGGTCGTACAGTAGCTTCCATCCTTCAAATGACACACGTAGTCGTCTGGGTCATGCTGTTGGAGTCCCATGCGATGGATTTGGTGGTGCATGGCGCGAATGGCCAACGCACGAGTCGTAAAGACGCCACAGACGGTCGTTTTGGAAGTGCACTGGAGGCGTCCTCGATAGGGATCCACGTCGTCCTTGACATGATGCGTGCCAATCAAAACGTAGACTTTGTGATGATTACGATGATAGTCGGCACCTCCGGCAATGGTAATCAATGGCGGCGGTGGCGGCAGCGGTGGAAGAGCCACCGGTTGTCGACGGCCGGTCGAGTTCTTGCGGGGCTTTTTGGGTTTGGGACCTACCGATGCTGCTGCAGTACCATAGCAAGAATAGCTGTTGTAGCCTCCACTCGAGGCAACGGCCTCAGCGGCAGAGCGCTTGTTGGATGTTCGTTTGGTCGTCACCATCGTCGCGTTATCACCTCCTTTCTGTGTGTGAGTTACTCGGCTCTCTTTTTGTGGTGTTTGCTTTGGGTCTCTTTTCCTGAGGAGAACGATGTGGGACTCAAAGATTCAGGGTGCCTTTCCTCTAATTCTTTGTCCAAACGAAATTCGTGACTCGACTCGAAGCGGGGTGAGCCTCTGCATCCAACGCAACGCTGACGCATGCTTCCTCTGCAAATGGAATTTCTTTTGCTTTCTTAGTATTCGACCAGTTGGGGCTGTTGTGCCCACTGTACCGGTGTATTTGAACACCAGAGCAATGCAAGTACCCTCTCAACTCTCATAGCTTATTTCTTCATTGTCCCATTTTCCTCTGATTGGATTTCGTGGGGGGGTGTATGAAGGAGTGAGAGAGAGAAGGCGATCGAAAACTGAACACCCACCACCAGAACGAGCGACCGTGGCCACCATGGCCTCCTTAGCTTTGGTTCCCACCACCAAACGGCGTCTTCTACGCAGGTCTATCAGGGAGAACCATGTGAGGAATCAATTGCATTTGTGTTCCGGTACCTGCCCCCGTGGCTTTTCCTCGTCTACCAGAACATACTCGTCGCTCTTGCCATCGGCTACTACGGCGACACACCAACTGGAACTGAGCGGTAGTAGAGCCATGTTCTCTTCTTCGACTGCTACCAGGACTGGCAGGAAGTACTACTCGTATGTGATGCAACATGCACTGGACTATGTCAAGACACTCATAGAAGAGCGAAGAAATGACGTTGCGTCACCACAGAGACCGCAAACCAATTGGGAACGCGTCCAGAACTTTCCCTCAGGAGTCAAGGCGCTGCTCAGAGATTGCTTCCATTACAATGCCATTCATAATACCCCTCTGGAACAGTGGACCATTGCATATCCCCATGTAGACGCTCCTAGTACGGCTGGAACTGCCACTACTACCATCCAGTTGGGGCGCATTCCAAGGCGACAGTACGAGCAGCAACGACTGCTACGGGATGACTTTCGCACCATGCTACCTTTAGTGATTATGTGGATTCCACCCATTATTGGATTCCTTCCCGTCATCTTGGCCATTGTGACCCCACGTCAACTCATGTCCCGTCACTTTCACAATCCCTACGAATTAGAATGGTTTGCGCAAATTGAATACGGACAACGCCAACAAGTCTACAATCAGGTAGCCGATATGCTCTGGAGCTCGTTTCTGCACTCGGAGAGTCGACACGTGCAGAAAGCCATGACACAGAGCATGTCCATTGCGTCGAGCCATGATGATTCCTCTACAGCAGCAGCAGAAGATGCCGCTGGACCCATTTTGGATGCCGTGACGCTATACAGAACCATCTTCGCTGCAGGAGGAGAGCAAAAACCCCACCTGTCCATCAAGGACTTGCCAAGAGAGCACTTGGTACGTCAATTTTGAATACGAGATCCAACATTTCCATGGATGTTTGAACCTTCCCTCACCTGCTTACTTTTTGTGGATTCTTCCACTCATCCTCGTCCGTTGACACTTATTAGGTAAAGCTGTCCTTGGCCATGGGTATCAACCAGTACCTACCGGGTTGGCTCAGTTCTTGGGTAGCGGAATTTCAACCCAGTGCATGGCTCCAAAGTCAAGTGGACCGCATTTCCCGCGTCGTGTGCAAAGATGACGACATGCTCATTGAAGAAGGGCATCATCTCAACGGATGTAGCAGTTTGACGGATCAAGAGGCGACGGATGCTTGTCTGATGCGTGGGTTGCCTGTTGGACAAAACGCCACAACCGAAGAGCGTCGACAATGTCTCACCAACCATTTACGCATGATTGCTGAGGTACGAAGAGAGCCGGCCACGAAGGTCGAGAGTGACAGCTTCCGCCTCTTCACGGTGCATTTGGCACCGATTCGGAATTCTCTCAAGAGCGCGAAGAAGCTGTAGCAGGTAGTTTTAAAGAGTAGTTTTAGTTGATTCGATTCTGTTGTGCTCTGGAACGGGTGTTTGAGATGTCGCAATCGATGTTGTTACTGGCAAAGCGTTTTTCGCTCGCGAAGAAGGACGCGCACAGTGCGAGTGCCACCGTTGGGGGCACGATCCCATTCCGCCCGTCCGGTAAGCTTTGACCCGACCAGAATCAAGAGTACTCAGCATGATCGGTGTCTTTTGATGCGTTAATAAAAGGGACCTTTCTTTTTCCTTTTTGATTCGATACTCTGAGCCCTGTCACTGCTGTGATACGACCACAGTAGTTTTTCAACAAAGATGCTTCGCCTGCTCTCCAGCGCTTCGTGAAAAGCGGACGCATAAGCTTCGCTCTGGGTACAATCTGATTCTGTTCCAAACAAGAATTCAGGAAGATTCCATAAGACGTTTTGCGTCATGTTAGGAATTCGTAGACCTGAAGTGGTTTGCATCAATGTTCCTTTTGGATTTTGAGAGAATTGAATATGATGAATGCACGGGGTACCGCCGGGAGGAACCAAGGCGCGCATCTCGTTTAGCAGGGAGTTGCTGCTCGCGGTCTTCGGGAACATACCAGAACCAACAGGTTGGTATCATTGGCGACATCGTTTCTCTGGAGAGAGAAGGGGGGTGCAAGCGGAAGCTGCCTGGAGACGGTGGTAACAGTGTAGCAGACTGCCAGATCAAAGAGTTCTCCATAGCAGTCAAACAACGGCGGCCCGCCCCTTTGCCAGTTCAGCAGTGAACATTCCCTGGTTCGTTGAGAAGTCATGGCTTCGACCACTCCTTCCCCTGGTCTCACACAGGCCACCCTCTGTTGGATTGAGCAGGAGCATCCGCGTCAGGCCGAAAAGCAAATCTGCTTCTTGCAATCAACCAGCTTGACAATGAAGAGCTGTAGAACAGTCTAGAGCATCGCATCATCAAACATGGCCCATAGCGAGAAGCAAACACAGTCTTCAGACTGACGAGAGGCTCTGCTAAACTCAACAGAGGACAGATTTATGTCATCTGACAGTTCAATAACCAGGCTGGCTCCTGGGAACTCCTCTGACCCTTGGATATCACGCTCACCTGCCATCTCTTGAGCTTAGCAGAGCATCCGCGTCAGGCTGAAGAGCAAATCTGTTTCCTGCAATCAACCAGCTTGACAACGAAGAGCTGTAGCACAGTCTAGAGCACATCATCATCAGGCATGGCCCACAGCGAGAAGCAAACACAGTCTTCAGACTGACGAGAGGCTCTGCTAAACTCAAGAGAGGACAGAACTCGTCCATCTTGGTTGTCGTCAACACATCCTTGCCTCCACGACCAATCAACCCATGACAACATCAGCGCTGTACAAGACGAGAAGAGATGATGAGCCGAAAGTGGAGAGTTTTAATGATTCAATCGTCAAAGCCAACCATCGGAGATCCAAACAGTCCACCACTCGTTCCTCGCGTCCTTGGCGATTCAACTCATACCGCTATCCCAGGATCAGAGTTTCACAACAGAAGCCTCGGCGCCAAACAAATAGAGGAAGGGGTGGGATTTTGTACATCCTAGTAGGCGTCGGAGAAGATGGATGACCGAAGAGGACATACATGAAAGAGACCAGGAAACTTTTCAACCCAAAGTAGACAACTGCCTCTTCTCAGAAGACACAACTACAACTACCTTGGCAATCATCTCTACTGACTTTATTCCTCGCCATGCGTCCCTGGTGGCAGCCCTTGGCCCTACCTTCGGAGAGGATACGTTAGTAGTGACCTCTGGTTCAACGCACCAAAAGGTTGGAGGATATAAAAATGAAGGGCGATTGCGGTGTTTTATCGGGGAAGGGAAGGCTGAAAAGCCAGACCACAACCATTCAGGACGCTCGCGAGGCCACGTCTCCCCCAGTTGTACCCCCAAAATAAAACTCGTTGAAAATAGTTTTGCCCCCAGTTTTTTACTTCCCCACCCCCACATTCTCTTCTACCCCCAGACCGGTGCTTCCCGCTTTTCGCAAGACCTGGACCTCACGTGTTGAATGGTCTTGTGGCGCAATGATCGGCATCTGAAATGGTTGTGGGACCAGGAAAAGCCGCTCTTGGCTAGTCTCAAGGTGGTTGATTGTTGCTGAAGTTTGGCGCTGTATGCCAAAAGAACGGCGTTGCTAGTGTTTGTATGGAAGGAGAAAGGTGAGCGCTCTGTCAGGGAAGCTTGCAAGAGAGGTCTTTTGCAACTCATCCTCGAGCATTCAATTATATGACTCTCACCTTGTTACTTCTCTCCCCCCTTGGACAGTCTTGAAGTGGTTGCCTCATGGCGGCCTTAGTGGTGTGGTGCGCCGAATAAAAAATCCAAATTGACCCAGGAAAAAGTCAAATGTTTCCGTCTGCGGCGGGGTCGCTCTTTTGGACACCCTCCTGAACGTGCAGACGTCTTGGGCATGTAGATCACAAGCAGGTAGACCGGAGGCTGTCTGAACTGACCAATGGAGCCGCATTGGGCCCTCTGTTGGCCGGTGATATTGGAGTTTGAAGCGCCGCCTCCTCCGATGGATCCGGTAGACTGGTTTAGGTGGCAACCTTTTGCCATTGTTTCTTCAATCGTCCCGAGTTTGTCGTTGGTGCGGTGGCATCTCTCTCAGGTTCCAAGGGACCGCAGCTGCCTCGGCGTCATGAAATACCTTCCCTGGTTTCATTCTTGCCCGCGATGGCTCTAAACGAAGGAGTTTGGTTTCGTTTGGTGGCCGATTCGGCAACTGCAAATGAGTTTGCACGGTTGGTTTCAATGGAATATTCCCCAAGCCCTTTCCATCACAAGGAATCCTCAACCATCAAGAGCTGGTTCAGAACTGCTTGTGAAGCTCTCTCAGTCAGGGCGGGATCATGTGGCTTAGAGTGTGATCTTCTGAGCCTGAGTCCCCTCTTCCAAATCGGCGGCCACAGGAGTGATATCCCTGCCTCATCAGCAAGGCGTAAAGGGCCCCGGGGGAATATTCGAACCATGAGACGTAATTGCTTCCCCCATTCAGTTTTCTGATGACCTCAAGCACGAGCATTTCTGCAAGAAGCCATATACTATGGCCGCCCAGGGTTTGACCTGTCTACGATGAAAGCGCCCAGTTCCCCCTCCCATAACACAGCGCCATCATTCTGAATCAGTATTCCAGGCAAACTGAAGACTGGGGAAACCGAGACTCTGAGCTTTTTCAATATAAAGTAGCGCCGCAAGCATCATTAGCCCGAAGCAATCAGACGAAGCTGTGCCGATTCTTCTGTCACCGGAGCCGATCCTGGCCAGGTCAGCCATCACATTTGGTTGGGTACAATCTACTTCATTTTCCACCCTTTCAAACAGCCTCCATTGGATCGGCAATGGCAAGCCCTAATACTTCCCACATACTTCCCACAGCCTCCAATCCGGTGTCGTCCTCCTGTCCACCTGCCGTTGGTATCATCCTGAGGATTCAGAAGGCTCATGGGCGCTCCTTAACTTCTTCCGGTGGCACGGTACAGGGAGAGGGGAGGGAGTGGATCTTCTGGGGCAGAAGTCTGGTAGGGACAGAAACAATCTAGCAAAGCCAAGACTCTGCTCTCTGCTGGCCTACAACGGCTCCTTATCATATCCTTGCGAGGTTCCATAGCACCAAACCTTGCTCATTTGAGCGCTCGACTGTTCTTTGTCCGATAGACCATCGTCTCTCTGCGTAACTTCGTTGGGTGGTCATTGTCGGATGAGCTCGTGGTTGTCGTTTGTGTTCAGCTAAGTCCTCCTGTCAAACCAGACAAGGACAAACAAATCACCAACATGCGTCCTTAGCTTCGGTGTCGCAAACAGCGCCTCTCACAGCTTTGGAGGGATGGACGAGCAACGGTCCCAGGGAGGCCGGGCAAACGATGGATAGACGGTGGAACGGGTCAGGAAACCAGCAAGCAATTGAAGCCCAGCAAAGAACGAAAAAGGTGGTATTGAACCGATCCTTGGGCCAAGAGCTTCTAAAAGAAGCGAACGCGAGGAAACAACAACAAGCGCTGCCATGCTCCAGCGCATCAGAGCACGGGATCTATGTGGCAATCAGAGGAGCGCGGTTTGGAGCGGTCGCCCATGCAAAAGACGAAGGAAACTGCCAACCCATCGGGTGTTTACGGATTTTTGCCACTGCCTCCAAAAGAGGCATACACGAACAACAAGGAGGAAACGGTGTTCGGTTATTCGGTTGCCGTGCTTCGGAGCTTCAGAGGCAGTACGAGTCGAGCACGAGAATGTACCCTTGTACCATTTGGTGGTCCAGGTCACTGGGCATTGAGCATTCAGCAAAAACCTCTTCCTCTGAGCAAACAGACGCTCCAATCAGTTCCGCAGATTCCAATGGGAGGATGTCGAGAACTCACTCGCACAAACACAACATAGCACTATTGTTTCCACTTCCATGCCAAGGGGCTCTGCCTTGGCAACGCCCAAAAGACGCCCACAGCTTTCAATCCAGAATCCACCCTCAAAACCGATAGGATGCCAGGGATACCCCCTCACTATCGATCCTGGCTGCGTTAAGGATGACGGTATGGTTGCCAAAGCTTACTCTTAGCCTTGGACATAGAGATTTACCTCCCAATGCAGCCTTCCAAGTCCAGCCGATGTCACACCTTTCAAGTGGATTCAAAACTGCATAGACCATGTGAAAAAGTGTCGGGAGGGGAGTGGAGGCGAAACTAAGGTGGAAAACTCGAACTGTATAGCGTTTTTATGCAGTCTCCTGAAGATCTGTGCAGTCACAATAGACTATCACAGCCCCAGCAATGGTTCCCTTGTACACCTCTCGTACAGAACTTTCACAGTCCAGAGGAGTACCCATCATCGACTGAGCTATTCTTTCCAACTGAAAGACATAGAAGGCTAGAGCCCTTTTGATTCTTGCAACACAACGATTTTAGCCGCGCGAAAGCTTTCGCCTCGTTCATCTTACCAGGTACCGGAAGTCGCCTCGTTCATCTTACCAGGTACCGGAAGCAGACGCTATGGCGACGTACAAGCCGCACTGTCACCCCTTCAGAACGGCGGGGAGACAGCCCTGTACCAGTTCCTATCCCCAAGGTCCATCAATGTGCATGCATACCCTAGCACCTGTACCCCAGCAATTACGGAGTACGGAGGAAACGCTTGATACTATGCACTCATGTGGAGACTAAAAGGTCGGACATTCCTCATAGAAGAAGCAGTGTATAATGTTGGTAGTGTGAAAGGTACGAGTAGAGCCTCCGCACTACAGTATGATGACCCAGCCGATGGTTCATCGAGGGTGAGGTTTGAGCTGACTACCTGGTCTGGTATAACACAGCTCGCAAGTTCATTTGGATGCATGATCAGCACCAAGGAACCAGCTTCTCTCGCTTCACTATTGTCTTGATTTGTGGGACGCACCACTCCAACGTGATCCAAGGCATACATGCATCTACCGGTATACGGTTTTCATCCGTTGTCCATCCCCGGGCCACATGAATGGACCTGGTCCCACTCCTGACATGGATAGATCCATGCCAGGAGTAGGCCGACTGGCCTAGAACCCATGCCAATGCCAATGTTAGTGCCTCCGTCACGCATGTTCCCACTGCCCCCACACCGTGCGATTGTCTCGCTCGAGCAGAGATGGTGACATGGCACATAGCAAGTTGAGAGTGAAGCCATTATCGGCAGGTACAATTTGCCGCCACTCATACGATTCAGTACTACTAGCACCAAAGTTCTAGCGCCTATATATGCACAGCTACGCTGCATGTGATATCACCAGCGTCCTAGCTAGCTATGTGGTGCAAGGGAATGATGCTGCGTGCTCTTCCTGCGGTAGCAGAGTTGTTGTGACAGTTAGATCAGGTGGGAGACCATTTTCGATTGTTGTCTGTTGCAGCTTTGCTGAGTTAAATTTTGTTCCTTGAAAGCTGCAAACCGCCAAAAACACCGTGGAAGCACTACCGGTATTGTCGCCATTGCTGTACCAGTACTATACTGAGTTCGTACCTGAATGGATCGAGGTAGATACCACCATGGCTACCCCTGACCAACTAGAGTTCATTAGAGAAGTGCTACGATCAGCGCCTGCTGGTAACTTCAATGCCTTGTTGGAGGACATGCAGAAGCTTGCAGGTTCTTCGGTTCCAGATGATGCTTGGGCGGAAATTAAAAGTCACCATGAGCGTGATACGTGCGCTGCCACTCAAGAAGACCTGTCCCATCCATTGGCGGCTTTATTGAAACAAGAGCTGAACAAGTACCAAGAGGGTCTCTACAGCGGTGGAAAGGACGTTATCTCTCGTGGTGAGATTTCTGCAGGAAGCAACAATGATGAAGTTGTCTTGCGAACATATGCCGAGCGGGTGGATGAAGCAAAGAGCCGAACTGGTTTCTGGTCCGCTGAATGGACCATTAAATCAGATGCATCGACTGCAGAAATTTCAGGAAAATTAAAGATTTGCTCCTTCTCCTTTGAAGGTGGGAACTTTCAACTTCGATCCACAAGAGAATTCGCTCCTAAAACGGTGGAAGGCGAATTGGCCCCTGCCATTATGAAGCAAATTGCCTCCTGGGAGAATGAAGCCTTTGTATCCCTTATGGATTCCTATGCGCAATCTACCCATAGCTTGAAATCTATTCGAGGAATTCTACCGGTAACACACACACGGCTAAATTGGAATGTGGTGGTTCACCGCACAGCAAGGACTCTCCAAGATACAGTCCAAAAATGATGATGAGGGTATCAAAATAAAAGAAGAGCCCTGAACACATGGCAGTGTTCAATTTACTGTCTTATGGTCCTCACTCAAGAGTGGCAGCAATTCTGCAAATCTAGCATCAGCAGAAATGAGCTTTTCCCTGCTATCGAATCCCTATGTTTAGATTGATTATGAAACCAGCATCCCAAATAAATGCTTCTTGTAGCGTTACAGTAGAGTAGTTAATCCCCAGCTGTCATTCGCTATCCTGCAACTGTTCATTGCTTCGCACGATGGCAGTACCCATCGTTTCAACTTGTGTTACATTGCATCCACATTGCCCCCGAAAGATTCTTTTCTTGGCTTTGCTTTGCGTACGATAGTAGGTGCCTCCTGCTCCCTTACTGAGACTGCTTGTCCCTAGTTGCATCGTGTTCTCTAGCTAGCTAGCTAGCTAGCTGAAGCGGGTATCCTTATAGGCTGAGGTCGCGACGAAAACAGAAAGAGGGCCCGGTGCTAATCGGATTAGGATGACGTCTAGCTAGCTAACTAGGCCCGCAATTGTGTGTATCAGTGATCCTAAAACAACCAGAAGCGTCTTGACTTGCAGACAGCCAGTACCGCGGCGCAAACGATCAATCGATGCTTTTGCGCCACTGTCTGATGCCAACGGGCGACCGGAGCCACTTCGCATCACTATGATTCGATTCGGGTTGGCTCGCTGCCCTATTTCAAGGACAATCAAGGAGTGCGGACCAACGTCCGTTTTCGAACCCAGCAACAATTATCAACGCAACACAAAAGATCGCATAGACCTGAACAACTCGTAGAAGGTTGAATGAAACAAGCAGTAAATTATGAAAATCGTAAAATGTAAATTATTGATTGCTTGCTTGTCAAGGATTTTTATTGTCCATCCTCGTTTTCCTCATCTCCTTCCTTTTTTTCTTCCTCTACGACCTCCGCAATGAGTTCGTTTTCTTGGGCTTCCACATTGTCTTCCTGATCACGCAAAGAAGCTTCCTGTCCCTTTAATTCTCCCAATTCTTCTTCTAGTTCTTCTGTTTCGGCAGGAGTGGCATCTCCCTTATCGGCATTGTTGAGTTCCTGATCTAGCACATCCAGCTCATTGTCTAGATTGTATTCTTCGGCTTCCAACAAATCTTCGTCCTTTTCGGCCAAATCCGCCATTTCGTCCGTGACGCGGTCATCGGTCAAGAATTCTTCGACGGTTTCCTCTTCGCGGATCGCATCTTCCAAATCCTCAATCGTGGATTCCTTTTGATCCAATATTTCTTGTTGTTCCGGTGTATTATCCGCATTGTGCTGTTCTTCTCGTGTCGTTTCTAGTTCGTGGTCCAAATCCTTCTTTTCGTTTTCCAAATTTTGCATAATCGCTTCGTGTTCTTCTTCTAGTTGCTGTTCCAATTCTTGTTCCTCCTCGGCACTAATACTGGGAGCTTCAGTCACGTTGGGTGCGACGGTAGTCCCCTTTAAACTGGGTGCGGCAGTTACCATTTGTTCAGCGGCGGACTTGCTACCCGACAAGTGTATCGACAGAGCCGCCGCAAAGAGCACGGCAAAGATAACGATACCGACACACATTTGTCGTCTCCGACGAGCTCCATCGTGAGGATTGTTGCTGTACTTGTACGTGCCCATGGTACCACCACGTCCAATGGGTTGATCATCCAAGAAAACATCGTCAAAGTGACGACCAGATCCTCCCATGGCGTCGCGCATAATCATCGACCCGCCGCCGATGCCCAGACGTTGACTCCCCATGCGTCCCATCTGCACCATCTGACCTTCTCCTCGCGGAGTTTGCTCAAATGTAGAGCCTCGATTAGACAGATCCATCTTATCCATCTTTGTTACTGCTTACTTTGTTTGTTAGATATAATGGAAGTGAACCCACTGCAAGAAGACGAAAGCGGAAGCGTTTGGAGCCCAACAGGATGGCAGGAAAATGAAAGAATGCAGTCTTGCTCTTTACATGACATTGTATCCATTGTCGAGGCATTCTGGGTCTTTTGCCGCCAGACTGGGTTCCCCTCGTCATGCGAAAAATGACCCCGAATCTTTTTTTCTACAGTAGGATAGGGTCAGGGAGGGACTAACTGTGGTACCAGACCTCCCAGCTTTTAAGAAAACACACATCTACATGTAATCTATCAAACAGTACTGTACATGTAGCTTCATCTGCATCATGTCATCTATCTGATCTAGCCATTACAAATAACTAGTAGTAGAGTCGCCTGTAAGGATCCTTCTGGCATCTCTGTCTATGATAATTGCATACAGTTGCTCACGTGGTTTTCCAGCCTGACCGCAACGTGACAACAAGAGAAGTGAAACTGGCGACTAGCTACTGCAGAGGATTGAGGATGGCTACTTATTAATTAGGGACGGACTGGTCTCTATTGGCGCTCTCGTTCCAACCAAGCCACTGCTGGTGCTCAGTCGAGTGTTGCCGTGCTTTGATACCAGCAGTCGCTCCGGGGCTGCTGCATTGTTCGTGCCGGAACCTGGAGACTGGTCCAGGAATGGTGGGGCCTGGTGTTGGTCCAGGAACAACACAACAAAGCCAGTCGACTGCTAAAGGTGTGGCGGAGTTGGTCCAAAGGCGGATTGGTTCAGGAGTATGGTAAGACCTGAAGGGCCTAACTTAACGTTGGTTGCTTGCTCCTAGCTAGCTAGACGATCCGCTCGCCCGGGCGTTGGTCAAGCAAGGAGCATTACATGCAGTGACAGTAGCTGAGACCTTTTCATGGTCCAGGCAGCCAGTGTTTCAGGACTTGCTTGTACGGTCAAGTGCCTGGTTCGGATCTTGCTTGTCGTGACGGTTGCAGTGGAGGTCAATCAAGGAGTACTAAGTCTGGTCCAGGCGTGGGACCACGAGCAAGTACCGGTAGGGAGATCAACCAAGCAAGTAGCAGCCAGTCGTTGGGAGTCTGCTCCAATATTTGTGTGGTTGTGCGACCTGGTGACGAACCAGGGTGAGTCCTGAGGTACCGTACGGTAGCGGCATCCAACAAGACTATCCACTGTTGCCATCTAGCTACTCGACTCCGGGCGGGAGTGGGCCTTGTAAGCATGCAATCAACCTGGTTTAGAAACAGGGAGTCGGAGTGGGTCCAGGTTTTGGATTGAGAGCGAATCCTTGTTTTGGTGCCTGCCAGCAGTTGTTGCAGGCGTCAGTCCAGGATATGTTTGAGAGGTAGCGTACAAGAGTTGGTCCAAGGCCGAGTGGGACCAGCTACCGTAGCTAGCTAGCTAGCTAGTAGTAAGGAGATAGATGGGTCCGGGAGCAGAGAAGGGCTGAGCTGTGGGTGAGCGAGTCGAGTCCTGGTTTTGGTTTTGATGGAGGAGCGAGGCCAGGCCTGGATTGGATCCAGCAGAGGCCCTGAGCGAGGAAGTGGTTGGGGCCAACAAGCAGCGATAGGGGACGGCTCAACAGAGAGGAATGCATATGATCCAATGGCCGGCTGGAAGTTGGACAGGAAAAGGAAGGGTTACGGGAATGAGTCCTGATTTGGTTCAAGGTGCGATGAAGCTCCAATGTCCAAGATCGGGTTCACGGTGTTACAAGGGTGGTCCGGAAGTGGGCCTGGGCGATGGACTGCTCAACTTGCTTGCAGCCAGACAAGCCTGCACGACACCAAAATTTACTAGCCTACCGGTCACGGTTCCGTAGCCAGCAAATCTATCTATCTATCGAGATCGAGAAGTGCAACATCGAGTTGTGCCATGGCACCGGTACCTGTAGTCGTCTTCGATAACCTTGTTGCAAGAGTTTGTTGCGGCTTGTGCGTGTTCTTGCTGCAATGTCACGCTCAACAGGAGCGCCTCTCTTTGTCTTTATGGGCCCGCAGGTGTCTGTTCGCACCTTCTGGCTAGCTAGCAGTGCATACCGCACTCGGAAACAGGATGTAACTGTAGTACTGTAGGGTATTAATCTAGCTAGCTAGCTAATAAGTAAAAGCTGGGTGTGTGTTTGATTTGTAATCAGTGTTTGTTTAGTATATGATTTTCTATTATTCATACAAGAGGCACGGATCCTGTGGTATCGCGTGTGTGGCTGTATCGTCGCAGTGATGACATGGCCGAGACAATGGAAAGTGGAGCGGGAGGAAGAGAAGCATCCATCTTGCCTTTGAGCAGTACAGGAGCTCGTCGAGAAGTGGGAGAAGGAGAGGGAGAGACGAGGTTGCCGCTGCTGTTACTGCTGCTGTTGTCGCCAGTGGTATTCAAAGAACGCATGGATGCCATGGCGAACAGTCGACCAGTGCGTTCGTTGCTGCGTCGCAATGAAGTCGGAGGCAAAAAGAGAGCATCGGCGGAGACAGGAAGACGGGTGCGGAATTCGTTGTCTTCTTCGTCGTCGCTGTCGTCGTCCAATAGAGACTGGCGAGCGGCGACCAATCGAGGAAGCATTTTCCAAGGAGCGACTTGCTGATCACAGCAGTCGTCTTCATCGTCATCGTCAAGCAGAGAGACGCGCTTCTTGTGGGGAAGTTCCATGTGTTGTCGGACTTGTTCGTCGTTTTCATCATCGCCGTAGATCAAATCTTCGGATTCTTGGCGGCGAGTCTGGCGCTGTTTCTGTGCCCATTGTTGCCATTGATCATAGCTGTTGCTGCTATCGCTACTGCTGCTGCTAGAGCTAGTACTACTAGTTGAGGTGGACATGTTGGTTGTTGTTTTGCCTGTGGTCGTGGTGTGTGAACCCAAGTCTTCTAGAAACTGAAAATTGTGTCTAACACAGGCAGCCAACCTTTCCTTGGCGACTTCTTGGTGTGGCTGCCCTCGTATTCCTCGATCCAAACACACGCTTTTGCTTCCCAGTTCCAAGTCCCCACGAGTCTTGCATCTTTTTCCTTTCACCTAAAACAGGCAGCTAACAGGCAAGCAGGCTGCATGAGCTCCTCAATGGAAGAAGTCACATCGCCATCGTACTCAATTTCGCACACTCCTGATACCCACACCAAAACGTGTTCTATTTAACAAACTGTGAACCAGTGATGTTAAATGGTTTGTGTTTACCAGTCAAACACTGTGCGGCGACTGTACAATTTCACCAGTATAAACCAAACCAAGGGGAAGAATATATGTAAGCCGATCCGACAGCAATCATACCAGGAAGCAAGCTGCTTACGGACTTGTTGAGTTCATGATCAGCAAAAGACAGTTGAAGCTGGACTCAAATTGGCCTTACACTAATCCAAGTGATTTGGAGTACTCTCAGCAAGTGTATACCAGGAGTAAATTAATAAACAACATAAATCTAGAGATGATGAGCTATGTGATAAATGCTGGGGAGTTCTCCATTGCGATCTATTAATAGTACTAGTAGCCGATCATTATGTTCTGGCTGGGTCACCCATTTGGATTAAGGAGGGTGCCAGATATTAATTGATAGCACCTTCTTTGATGCAAGGACTTAGACACTTCTTGATCATGCCGATTTCGAACACAGTTCATTCACACAGAGAGAAGACGGAAATGACCCCAAGAAGGCCTCAGAAAGTCAGAAAGCTCCCAGACAATATTTATTTGAATGGTGCAGTGGAGCACAGTCGCGGCATCTTGCAAGCATGGTTTTTCTTGCGACTGATCTCGACCCGACTTGACTTGACCGGATTTGAAGGCAACATAACATCTTGCTTGGATCCCATAGCTTCCCATACAATTCCCCACACAAGTTTTAATCTAGTCCAGGTTCAAAGGAACCATGGCAGGTAGTTCTCACCTGTCCTGATTGATTGAATACCTGATGCGAGCTGGTGACCATGAGCTCTTGCTTGGCCGGTTTGGAGGTTTGATTAGAGCAAAAAAGGTCAGTATCTGCCTGACTGCATGGAGTGCGGTACCGGTACGCAGACCCCCTACTAGCTAGGCAGCCAAGTGCGTCAATCCACCCCGGTTACGACGTCTCGCGTTGACCTGGCTGCTTCTATTCTGGCGACCTTGGACTATATCGGGACATGCCATCCATGTCGAGCAGTAGAAAGTAGAAGCATGTATGTGTGAACCTGCAACTGTGAAAGAAGATCCGTTGTATGCGTGCTGCAGGAAGCTAGCTAGCTAGCTAGCTAGTTATTACCGTTGTGGCTGGCAGCCACCGGTACACAATAGCCAGTTGGTTCAGGGTTCATGGAACAGGTGCATCTTTGGATGATGTTCACGGTACAGGCATGCCCTGCCAAGCCAGGCGGACGGCGAGCAACTTGAGCAAAGCAACCTGTGGGTCGGGGGAAAAGCAGCCAAGTCTCCGTGTGCGGCCAGTCTCTACTACTGGAGACTACCCTGGCTTGAAAAAACCTGGATGTAGATTCCACATTTGCTCTTTGCGTCGTGGACTGCAGACAGACAGTGATATGCATCTTCGCGTTTGCTCTGAGCAGCAGCTGAAGACAGCTCTGATCACGAGCAGGGTGCTTCCGCAATGCCTACTCATCCCACCTTGGTGGGGGGGCTCATTGTAGTGTTGGGAACCAGCAGTCCAGCCAGGTAGCACTATGAAGAACATCGCGGGATACGCAATATCTGTACCTGGTACTTAGCCGTGGATAGCGCTCTCTTATTGCCTTGCCCATTCCATACCAATGGTCTACCCGGAGCAAGGTCGGAGGAGGCCCCGACATTGGTGTAGCAGGGTGGCCACTCCCATCCCTTGCTGTGCATAACTTCACTTGGACAATAGATAGCACTCTCTGCCCATTCCATATCACATGCTCGGAGTAATGCGTGGAAGGGGTGCCAACACTAGCTGGGAGTAGCTGCTCTTCAAGTTAGACTCGACTCGACTCCACTCAGACTCGTCGGTCAATGGTCACTCCACTCTACTAGCTAACCTAGCCACCGGTACCGGTACATGTACTAGTACAGTACAGTATGATAGGATCAACACCCGAGCAAATAAATGTGATCATGACAAGCTCGACTGGATGTCGACTTCCTTTGTCCAATGAAAAGGCCGAGTTTTGGTGGCGCCAGCGCCAAAATCTTGGGTACTTAGATCCGTTAAGTAAGAAATCTTCGCCAGTTTCGTGAAATGACTGGCCTTTGAACAGCTTCCTTGGCTACGCCGCCAAATTGGATACAGCATCGGCACTTTTTTCATTTGTTTCGTCTGGATCGTCGTCAAGCAAGCAAGGGTTGTGCTGTAGCTAGCAAAGTCATCCTTTGGCTGTCTGCTTCTTGTGCTATAGCTTGCAGTCTACTAGAAGCTTCTTCCTCCGTTCGAACCGAATCGGATCCATCCATTGAATTAGATTGACCAAGCCAAGTCCCAAGAAGGGAGTGAATCAGCATCCAGAATGACCGTGTTGACTTCCTCTGCGGCTCCCGTCGCAGCTCGCATGGCTTCTTCGACTCTTGGTAGTAGTCATAAGAGGTCCTCTCTGCATTCAGCATCCTCTGTGGAACGTCAATTACGAGAAAAGATTTTGTATCAGATTGACAAAATTTTGTTGCAGTCGCCTCCCAGTCGCACCTCGCTCTACAATCTGCTCTTGCTCTGCAATCCCGACTTGGATGCATCCGCACTCGATGCTCCCATTGCTCGTGAAAAGGCATTTCGTGCCGTCAAGGCTCGTCTTCATCCCGACAAACATGCGCTTCAGGAACAACCACGGGTGACGCTCTTGTTTCAAAATGTCCAGACATTCTATGTCGAATGCTGTCATGCCATGGCCGCGCAAGATGCCGGCAGTCGATACCGAAAACAAACCAGTATGCCTTCTTATCAATCGACACCGCAAAAGACACCCTTGTACACGCGACGATCCACTTTTTCCGAAGGCGGCAGCAACAGTCCCAAGAATACTAACAACAACAGTGCCTTTGAATTCAATTGTTTTGCCAAATGGCCCTTTTTGAAACAAATCCAACGCGATACGCCCTTTCAAGCGGTTTCCACGTCGGAACTCCACTACCATTTGGCATATGCCTGTCTCAATTACCGCGGTGCCATTGTCCACGGACAAACCATTGATTGTACGTACCAAGTACCCGCCAATTTTGTCGAAACGGCCGCGTCGCCCACATCCATTCCGGCTGTTTGGGATGCTGCTGGGTTTCCTACCGACCAACATCTTCGATTGACAAGTGTCGATGAGTTGAAGAAGGAAATTCAACAACACGGTCCCGTCGTCTCGACATCATTTGGACTCGATCCCAATTACTATCAATCCATTTCCCGTCATGCCGGAAATTTCAGTGAACGACATGTGGGACACTGTCATCCGCTCTTGATTGTGGGATGGACCATGACGTCGCAAGGATCGGTATGGTTGGTACAGGGACTGCGGGGCACTACGTTTCCCATGGGAATGGGACAATTCCAAATTGATGCGCATGCCATGGCGCCACCGACATGCGTACTTTTACAGAAAAGTTGGCAATCGCCGGGACCTTTTTGGGATGTGCCGGATATTAGCCTAAAGTGTCTGGCGTGGAAGGAACATTTTGACAGTACTGCTCCTCGAGCTACCACTGTATTATCGACCTTGTTGGAGATTGTGCCACTAGAGTCGTCCGATATCGATGCACTGGGCGATTTGTGGAATGTCGGATTGCATGCCGTCATTTCGGAACGAAGAGTCTTTGTACTGCGCGACAAGAATCAAATGGCACAATCACGGCGGGTGCTCTTGCGAGATTTGGCGCGCGTCACGCACAAGGAAAAGGGAAAAGTGTGGAAGGTGACCGTGTCGGTGGTGCGACAGTAGTTACTACTGAACTCCAATGCCGTAACGATACAACATCTTTTTAAAATAAAGCTATGCTATGGTGGCACCAGGTGGCCTATAGAAGGGTCTGGTGGACCGACATCGCAGTACTATACCCAGAGAGTAGCTGTTAGCTAGATGCTTATGTATCGACTACTCTGTGTATTACTTTTTCTAGTAGCGATTTATCGATATCCTCAGCAGCAGCAGCAGATCAGAACATGTTGCACCGAGTTCTACAAAACTTTCACCGAGGACTGCCACCGTACATGTACAGTCCTCCGATCGACGACCTTGATTGCAACTCAAACTGGGCCGGGGGCAGACGCAGTGTCCGTGGTTGCACCTCCACATCCGTGATGGTATGGCATACGGTACCAGGTACCATAGTAAAGTATTCAGGGACTCAAAGACCCTTGGGCTGTTTCGGTAGCCCCCGGTAGCCCCCACGTTCGGCGCGGGCCATCCCACGCCATGGACCGACACTCAGGGGGGTGCCTCAAACCAACTCTGCATAACTGATTATGTCCTCTACTGTCTTCCACTACCGGAAGACGCCTGGTGGCTCGAGAGGTGGTTTGTTCCAGGTGGTTGCCTAGCTAGTTATTGAGGCTGCTATAGCAGCTAAACGAGAAAAACAAAAAGATGGTGGTGGTGCAACTGCTAACTCTAGATTAAAATTTCCCATTCCCATTGCCACAGATTGTAGAGTAAACAGCAGAGAAGAAGCCTGAAAGAAACTCTTTGCTCTGAAGTAAAACTCTTCAAACCAAGCAGAACAAAGCAAAAAGTCTCTATCAGGCTTCGATCCTGCTGCCGCCGTCGCCACCAACTAGTAAGTGACATGGTGGGGAATGCCGTGCACCTGGAACCCGATTTGGGTAAGCACGGCCACCGCCCCAAAGCACAGCTTGTGCTTTGCCCTTTCGTGCCGCCATGGTGTGGCCGTGCACTTCCACTTCTTGATTTCGCTGTTGACATTCTCATGGCGGGCCCGGGCACGTGCCTTGGCACGAGCATCACGATCGGTGAGAAAGACGTGCTTGTGGCGGCATTTTGGGTCACCCCGGTAGCCAGCATCGCACTCCACCATCTCACCAGGAAGTAACCGATGCTTCAGATTGCGACGGAAGATGCTCAAGTCATTCCAGGTGCCACATTTGAAAGGACCATTGATCCAGACAATGTAGCCGGTTTGGATGCAGACGCCAACCTCATAGCGATAACCAGCACACTTGTGCTTGAAGCAGTACCACTTCTTGGAGAAAGGGGAAGGTTCCAATAGCATGCAATCAGTGCAGTCCACAGTCAACTTGCACGTCCGGCCTTTGTCTGCGAGGAATCGACCTGACAACTTCATCTGAAACAAGACAGGTTAGCAGCAGAAAGGAGCGAGCAATTGCAGGGCATGAGCCAGCGACTTACCACTCGAGGAACCAACCCACAAAGCAAGGGAATCACAATCCAAATAAACTTTCGAAAGGTGTTTTCGACCACTCCTGCCATGCCAGCAAGCACCGTTTCTGTGCTGTAGATCTTCAAGTGCATACAAGCCCACAAGAGATGCTTGAACTTGAGAGCCTCCTTGCACCCATGAATAAACATGTTCCATGCCACAGCCATCACTTTTGGACTGGTACCAAAGTAAGATTTGAAGTTCCGGTTCTTTCTTGCCTTGACGATTTGCTGGGCCGCCAAGAGGAAGCTTCCTTCGGTCGCAAAGAGCGTCGTCATGTTGATGGTGTTGGTGGTGTTGGTGGTGTTGGTGGTGTTGGTGGTGTTGGTGTTGGATGATTGCGGCGGCTGCTAGCAACGGAGCAAGGTCATGGTGGTTGGATGAGCGAGGAACGAAAATAATGAGATGGAGGAAAAGAAAAGAGCAAGCGCCACAGAAGAGAATAAGTTCCCATTCCCCTCGTACAGATTCTACATGAAATGGCTTCGTCGGACATTTTCATCGTTTTCAGCGACATCCAGCTGGACTTAAAGCGAGAGCGTTTTAGCGAGATTCACATGCAACCAACCAATACACAATCCACCCAACGAACGATTCCAACCGCCAAATCTTCCGAATGGATCGAGTTGGTTCGAGTTGATTGTAAATAGTATTAGAAAAAGAAGCTTTTGACGCTGACATTGACACTGACGTTGCCGATTCTACTGACGTGTCAAAGGAACTGTGACATTCCATTTTTGGTTGACGGTCAGGCCCATTTAAAGGTAGATTCTACATCAGACTCTGCGTCAGAATTGAAATTGTCCTAGGCCGTCCTAGGCCTCCAAATTTGACAACAGGCTGTTCTTTTGTCTCTCAAAGATTTATTTGAACGTTGATCCACGAAACAAATACAGTATGTGAATCAGCGAGAAAAAGAAGCAAAAGCTAGCTAAAGCAAACCCGGAAAAGAAGCAAAATGCACCAAATGAGAAGCCAAAAGGTGGCACGAGCCGTTGAAGGTCGCTAGCACGCGAGAACCATCGGTTGAGAGCGGTTGCAGGCGGTGGAGCGCGGTGGAAGGCGGTTGAAGGTGGTAAACAGGCGGTGAACCAGGCGGTAAAGAGAGTGGTTGAGGTCGGTCCGGCGCGGTTGCAGGCGGTTGAAGGCGGTGAAAGGCGAGTCAAGGTGTTTACAAACGCTTGCACTCGGAAGGGGAAAATGGCAGAAATGTCTTGTTGTAAGAGGGAATTAGTAGAAGCTACGTGCAATCTAAGTGTTCGAATCTGCGATCTTCTGCGATCTAACTCCGAGCCAATTCAGCCACAATCTCCTCGCGCACACTTCAAAAAGCTACTCTCCAGCTCGCAGTCAATTCGAATTTGCCTCCGTAAATAGCCGACCATGGTCCTTTGCACGAAAATCTCGGCGCTGTTACTTACAGCATTGTGTGTGGTTGTTGACGTCGTTGGCGTCGTTACCTTTGGAGCCAAGATGGACTTGATCTCGCTCATTTGGGCTCACAAATCAGCAATATGGCGAAGTTCAAACCAAATGGACCTCACGCGGCCAACATGGTTCGTTGGTTCATAAAACAAGCTTTGGCAGCCAAAGCACTCGATATCTCTCCTTCCGACGGAGACTTCTCTTGGGAAACCTTCCTTTCTGAGAACGAAGTTTTGGTCCAGACCATCGCTGGTGACCATCCTGGCCCCGATAACGACCATACCAAGCTCGTCCGCGCGAATTTCCACCGACAAGTCAACCGTTTCAAGAACTGGCTTCTTAGTGCAGCCGGTAAGTTACCTGTCTTTTCATCCTTTTCATCATGAGCTATAACTAACACTTCGTGTCCAGGTTACACCTCCTCGTTCCAGCGTGAATCTGGTTTGACCGACTCTGGCCTTGCCGGTAGCTGTGCCACCAATAACCCCCAGCAACCAGGAGATCTTGGAGAAGACGATCCCGAGGGAGCAGAGCCCAATCCTGATCCGGAAATCCCATTTGCTGGTCCACCTGACGCCGAGGAACCGGAACCAGAACCGGAACCACCCAAGAAGAAGTCAGCCAAGAAGCAGCGAAAGACGAAGACCGAAGAGAACCTAGAGGATCTCTACGGTGCATTTGAGAGTTTGAATTTAGACCTGACAAACACAGATATGAAAATCAAGATGTTTACCCTTGATGGGGTGAAGATCCGCGGTGATGTTGTGAAGATGGTCAACGTCCTGGGAATCCAGATCTGTGTGCCCCCTGGTGCAGTGCTCAGGACGATGGAGATCCAGCCGTCCTATGACAATCCGAATCATGTGAATGTTGAATGTGACATTGCCCCGGAACTCAGCAAGGGTATCTCCCTTTGCAAGCAGCGTTGGAAGGACCAGAATACGGATTTGGCAGTCCGCATTGCCACCGAGCTTGATGATGTGTGCTGGATGGACACTGCTGCTGGTGTTGATTATGAGAAAGAGGACGTGACTGTCCCCTGGCCGGATGGGCGGAAGAGTGAGCTTGTGGCTCTTGATTCATGGGCGCTTGGCCTCCGTGAACGCCCAGTTCGCGATCATCAATCCCTCTATGAGATTGATCACATTGCCTCTGGCAGTGGTGCCACGGTTGCTCCATCCTATGTGGTCACTGTGTTCTTCAAGGAAGACAAGCCTCGCCAGTTCCGTGGAAAAAGTGGTGGCCTCCGCATTGATGGATCGTGGGACGAATGTGATGACGACGACTACCATGATTTTGACAATTTTGGTGGTGGAGGTGGCCGTGCCAAGAAGCCGCGTACCACCCCCAAGAAGGGTAGCGGTGGTGATGGTGATGATGACGTTGACATGGATGGAGGCAAGAAGCCCTCTACTCCCAAGAAGCGGGCTGCCACTCCCAAGAAGCCTCCTTCTTCTTCCTATTTTGGCTTCATGTCTTTCCTCTTTGGCTAAGACAACAACAACAACAGTGATGGTTAGGGCAACTGCAACTACAACAATGACAACAGCAGCAAGTGGTGATGGGGGCAATGAATTAATGAATAGGGAAATGCATAGGCTAACATTAGTAACAGAAACAACATTGAAAAAGTTGGTTGTGGATATCTTAGGACAGTTTAGGAAACAGTCAGCCAAGTGGAGTTGGTTTGAGGCACCCCCCAGCATAACAATTCCAAATTCTGTTGCGGCAAGCCCCGAGCTAGATGCACGTTCACATCCTATTAGATGACTTTTAGAGAACAACAATGTAAGATGGAGCTCAAGCAAGCGAACTCGAGCTTTGAACATTCGAGAATACTTCTTTACTACACGTAGTACTAGGATCCAACTTTCGGTAGATGAGTGGAATTACGTCTCCTGAGACGACGCACCTTTTGGTTACCCCCTCAGTTGCACTCTGAAATCAATTTGCCGGCGTTTACTGTGTAAATTATAGTAGCCGCACTTCAGTTGCAGAATCAACGGTCATGTGAATCCGTAAGTACCAAACCTGTATGTAACGTTATTTAACGTGCCCTTACGGTAAGTACCAGTAACAGGTTCTTGTTCGACAAAAATAGATCGATTTGTGGATAAAAGAACCGTTGAAGTTGCTAAGGTTAAGGATAAACTGATCGCACCGAAAGTCCATTATTGAAGGCGCAGCACCGACTTCTCTCCCTCATTGAATTCGTATGGTAAACAGGAGGTAAATCCAAGCTTGGCCGACAACAGTGCTTTATCCAATCGACCGATCGATTTGAGGTAAGCCTATTATCAAGAGTGATATTGGAGGTGTAGATGCGAAAGCCATCCTTCATTCATTTCTATGGACCATGGGAAGGCAGTCAGATCTCGGCCATCAACAGGTGAGTTGTTTTAATTATTCGAATCGAATCGTCGCACCTCTGTTATCCAAGCCTCACTCAAGCCGGTCGTCTCCGGTGTAGAAGCGAAAGCCATCCCTCATTCAATCCTATGGACCGCAGAAGGCAGTCAGTTCTCGGCTCATGACGGCCAAGTTGGTGCAATTTGAAAAGCAAGGGTAAGTCGCTGGTTTTCTTCAGTTCAGCACAGAAAACAAAAATCATATCTATTTGTTGTTTTCTCTGCTGCACTGCCGACGGCCGATGAAGTACCATTGTCGAGTCCTTTTCGATCGACCGCTCCGGATAACAAGAGGATGAGAGGCTACCGCTACGGAGGAGGAGGCTCTGTTAACTCCAGCCCTACCAACAGCCTGAACAGAGGAGCCTATCGTCGTCGAGTCATTGAAAGGGAACAGGAGCGAGGCTAGCTACTCGACAACACACAAGAGAGTGGATCCTCCTACCGGATTCATCTCTTCTTGTTATTTCCTACTGTTTTGGTGGTGATTCCTGTGTCGGTACCCATTTTCCTGTATGCGCAAGTCAAGTACTGTTGCCACCAGCTATACGGCAGCTGACTACAATGGCTGGATTGACAATATTCCGTTGTGCGTGTATTCGTCATAAGGATCCAATGCAAGGTAACCGAGTGCAGCGAGCAAAGTCGAACCTGAGTGTGTTCGGTACTGTTGCCACTGTCACCGATCGATGAACTCTACGATAGCTGGCTACAAGCTGGATTGACAATGTTCGGTAGTGCATGTATTCGTCATAAGGATCCAATGCAAGGTACCGGTAACAGAGTGTAGCCAGAAAGCGGAACTGTGTGTTCGGTATGTTGCCACTGTCACGGATCGATGTAACTCTACGGTAACTGCCTACAATGGCTGGATTGAAATATTCTTTGCATGTATTCGTCATAAGGACCAATGCGAGGTACCGGTAACTAGCGAGTAAAGCGAACTTTCGTTACTGTTCCACTGTCGTCGATGTAGCTTACCGCAGCCGGCTACAATGGCTGGATTCATAATGTCCGGTTGTGCATGTATTCGTCATAAGGATCCAATGCAAGATACGGCAACGGAGTGTAGCCAGCAAAGCGGAACCTGAGTGTGTTCGGTACTGTTGACACTGTCCCGATGTAACTGTACGGTAGCCGGCTCAATGCTGGATTAACAATATTCGGTTTTGTGCATGTATTTGTCATAAGGATCCAGCGAGGTAACCGAGTGAGGGAGCAAAGTCGAACCTGAGTGTGTTCGTACTGTTGCCCCTGTCACCGATCGATAAACTCTACGATAGCTAGCTACGATGGCTGGATTGATAATGTTCGGTTGTGCATGTATTGTCATAAGATCAAATGCAAGGTACCGATGGAGTGTAGCACAGAAGCGGAACCTGAGTGTGTTTGTACTGTTGATTTGACACTGTCGCCGATGTAACTGTATGGTAGCCGGCTGCAATGGCTGGATTAACAATATTCGGTTTTGTGCATGTATTCGTCATAAGGATCCAATGCGAGGTAACCGAGTGCAGCGAGCAAAGTCGAACCTGAGTGTGTTCGGTACTGTTGCCACTGTCACTGATCGATGAACTCTACGGTAGCTGGCTACGATGGCTGGATTGACAATGTTCGGTTGTGCATGTATTCGTCATAAGGATCCAAAGCAAGGCACGGGTAACGGAGTATAGCCAGTAAAGCGGAACCTGAGTGCGTTCGTTACTGTCACGGATCGATGTAACTCTACGGTAACTGGCTACAATGGCTGGATTGAGAATATTCGGTTGTGCATGTATTCGTCATAAGGATCCAAGTAGCGAGTAAACTGAGGAAACAGGAGACGAACGCTGAAAAAAAGCCGAATACAAAGTAGAATGATAAGGTTATTGTTACTGAGTATTAGCTAGTAGTTATTACTAGTACAGTACCAAATCTAGGGTGCTGCAACCAAGAGCTTGTAAAACAAAGCTTCGAGGCTCTCCCCAGCCACTAAAGACCAAAACACGAAAGGAAACCATTGCGGCGCACGGCACCTGTTTGAGTTTGAGCTGCCGTAGCTAGCTAGAGTATCACTAGCTAGTAGAGTGAAGTCCAAAAGAAAAAAGAGGTATCTAGACTATGAGATACTAGCCACCGTACTAGCTATCGTAGCCTTGCAGATTCCACACTTCTGACAAGAATCTACCATTTTGCCCAGGAACACAGAGTTTTGGTGTTGGCAATAACCGACAAAAAGCCAATTGCCAATTACATTGCCGCAATGAATGGCAAAATGCGGGTGAAACCTCTTGAAGAACGCTACACGTTGCATGTTGGAGAAACCACTTACACCATCGTTAGCGAGGAGGCCGGCCCTATCATTCCAGGGGAAATATCCGAGGTTGCGAAAGGAATCACGTGGACGCCAGAAGAATGGCCCCGCCAAAAGCTGCACGAATATATCCTGAAACTCTTCCCAGACAAGGACACCGAAGAAAACATTGGGGAGGATGGCTGCTTCACGTTTCTTGTCGCCGGAGAAAATCCAGCACAGGCCCGTTCTAGGGCAGAACGCTTTTTCGTTCCCTGCTTGCCTCATCGTCTACTTATACTTGACTTCCTGCTCAAAGACGCCATTGCCATGCCAGCGGCAGCAATGGATGCTTCATGAGGCGGTACTACGCAACTCTCAGTAACCCCAAACCCTAGTCTTCGCGAATCCAATCACTAGCTATCAATCTTAGAGGACTGAACTCAAGTCCCGATTGTATCGCAGACCAATCCACCAGATAAGTGTACGGGGGTTTAGAGTAGGGTAATTATCTACGGTTTAGAGTAGGGTAAATATCTACGGAAGCCAGCCGGGGCCAGGCTTAAAAGCAAAGAACAGTCGAAATTCAGGACTAGGTTCTGGACCTCTGTGGAAACTCGAGTCGTGCTACCGATCGTCTCCTAAATCCTTTTGATCGTCTCCTATTTAAAGGATTTCGTCTCCTAAAAATAGGAGACGAAACGGATCATCTCTTAAATCTTTCGTCTCCTCTAAAATCGTCTCCTATTTTCAAGGGATCGTCTCCTATTCTCAACGGATCGTCTCCTAAGTGTACCATGTAAACTGTATGGTATCGTCTCCTAAATCTTTCGGATCGTCTCCTATTTCGAAACGATCGTCTCCTACTGAATCGTCTCTTAAGTATAGGAGACGATTGCTTTCGTCTCCTAAATCATTTCGATCGTCTCCTATGCAGCGGTGTATCGTCTCCTAAGTAATTTGGCACGAATGACGTTTCCACAGAGGTCCTGTGGGATCAGGGGCAAGAAAGTGAGGACCATTACGGGGGCCAAATGGTTTGGCTTTGCGAGATCCACGGAGACATAAATGGGTAGCTTTCACAAGTGTAGAATGATTGAATTGAATCAATCGATTCAATGGCACCTGGGGGGCGGGAAGCACTCCATCCCACCTCTTCTCTAACTCTTGCACCTTCCAATGGGCGGAATGAGTCTTCTAACTACTAAGCAACACAATAGATAGATAGATTTGCAAAGAGAAAACCACAACGTTATTCTACCGGGTGATGTTACAAGTCATTTTTTCAGAGCAGTCACCAAGCTACCATTCATTGAAGCAAAAAGTATCCAATACGACTTGTAAAGAAAGATCCTGTTCGAGAGAGTTTGTCAAAAGCTGGAAGAAGACTCTATTCTTCGTGTTGTTGTATCACTCAATACGTGCAGATTGTTACGGTCCAAGAAAACTATGATAGTTTTATCCAGCCAAAATTGCATGTGGATGGAATGGTTGAAGATTCTGATTCCACTCAATCTCCAGGGACTCAAGACGGGAAATCAAGCTTCAAGGCACGTCTGATTTAAAATAGATGAAAAAGAAGAATTTTTCAAAAGAGACAGGAACACTGGCACTCAACCTGAACTCCTCAATCACAGCAACTATTTATCAAATGCAGCAAAAGGTGAGAGTGCTGACATATTTGACAAAGTCCATCCACCTCCCCACGGTTCTGGTTGCCTCGTGCTAACAGTCCAGATCTGATGGCAGTACAGTATCTTCTCGGCCATGGAGCCCAGAAAGAATACCCGAGCTCAACCTGGTACGCTACGCTTTCTGCCAGATCGACCCGCCAGTGGCGTTGGGGCGGCATCTGATGAACGCCCCAGGTCGAGAAACGAGTTTCAGCTTGCTGATGAGACGGAAGACGAAAAGGGCAGGATACCCCCTGGGTGCGATCCACCGGGGGCGTACAGTGTCAGGCCTGGCGAAGGAAGCGAGGTAGGGATGGCAGCACAAATGGCTCTTGCTGATACTGCAGAGTCCACAATAGTAGCACAAGAGTCGTCAAGAACGGAAACAGCTGTATCTGCAGAATCGTTCGAACCCAACCAACTTCTTGAAGCGATCCCTGTGACAGCGGAAGTGCTCGATAATGAAGCTGAAAAGGAGGCAGAGTTGCAGATGTTGCGCGATATAGAGAAGGTAAAAGCAGCAGAGTTACAGACGTTGCACGAAACAATGAAGGCAAAAGAAGCAGAAATGTTGGTGTTACGGCAAAAGGTTGAACTGACGAAGTTGAATTCCCAGAACTACCACCAGCAACATTACGAGTTTGAACCAGATGAATGTCGATATGTCTTTGTCTATGGTAGTCTCCGCCCCGATGATGAATCCAACAAATCCTGGAACCAGGATGCCGTTTCTGGGATGCTGGGACAATGGGCCGAGCTTCGTGGTGCACACCTTTACAACGACAAATACGCCAACGTTGTTTTTGAGGGTGCCAAGAGTGAAGACACTGTGTACGGCTGGGTCCTTACCGCTGGGAAGTCCTGGTTTACAAAGAGATTGAAACTGTTTGACTTACTACTGGGTCAAACAGGAGGCTCATACGAACGAACAATCACCAAAGTGTGGCTTTTGGGTGACCCAAAGATAGGTCCTCCAGGATCTTCTGTCATGGCATATGTTTACCATATACCCAATGGCGACAAAAGTGAGGAAAACCTTATTCCATCTGGGGACTGGCTGCTGCGAAACAGTAAAGTCACAACGTCGTAGCAATCACACCGCCCAACTCGAAGCCAAGAACAACACCCCTAATATGGACCTAGTGCGTGGGTATGCCGTATGCCTTCCATCGAGTCTCCCGGCCCCACTTCTCGCCTCGCTAATGACTTCAGATGTTTGTACCGTCCCCTGCCCCACAAGTCTCCAGCCTGCCCCGAACACAGACCAACACCAGGACGCACTCACGCAGGCATCAAACCGTGCTCCCCGACCAACTCGCATGGAAGGTGCCCAGACCAACATGTTGACCTGGACCAACACCAGGACTAGCTTGGTTGCTGTAGGACTAGTAGCGTATATCGGAACCAGGGCCGGACATTGACGATGAGTCGAGTCAGTCCATTTTGGCATTCAAAGACTACCAAACTTCTAGCTAAAGGGTCGCTCTCTTCTAAAAACAAAAGGTTCTAATACTTTATATCGCCGTAGGTGTTTCTATAGCTACCTCCAATGGCAGCTCTTCGCCTACATGGCAAAGGTTTCCTGACGGCAGTAAAATTGAAAGTCTGGATCTTGTCGAGAGATGTGAAAGCCAACATCTTGGATGCGTTGTGTCATGGATGCTGGTCCACAGACAAAAACACCACATTTGTTGTAGTTTTGGGCCCGGATTTGACGGTGCACACGAGACAACTCATCCGGCCAGCAGGGACGTCTTCCAAAGACGACCGAGAAGGCCTTGTTGGAACTACAACACTCTTGCCGCGGAGGTGCGGCTGTCACAAAGAATCGCAGCTCCAATACAGGAGCCAACTTGCTTGTCTTGCCGCGTCGCGCGGACTGTCGTCGCTGTTCCACGAGGATATCATTGATAAGGCTGGCAAACCAGTCCATGGCCTGTCGTTCCCGAAAGGACCATATCAAATAAGTGCGTTCCATCTTGCCCGGATTTGCCAAGAGTTCTTTCAAGACGGAAACCATGGGTGTAATACCAATCCCCGCCCCCACCAACACCACCATGCGGTGTTGCGAGTACCCCTGAGATGCTGTTCCCAATGGCCCATCCAACTTGACCACCAAATGTTGCAATTGAAATGGTTGCTTCGCCACGGAAATGGCCTCCCCACTAGCATTACTAGCATTCTTGGCGTTGACGCTGTGATGATGACGAGGTTCGTTGTTGGAAGTGGAAGGAGATGACACATTGGAGGTGCTGCTAACGCCCAAAGACTGTGTCCCTTCCAGCTCGGTAGAAGACGCCGTATCCTTCATCACCTTGCTCAAGTCGAGAACTGAGGCTCCCCTATCCCACAGCCACTTTGAACTACGACGCTGCAGAGGTTGCGAGTGTGGACAGTGGGTTGAAGCATTCGCTGATGGTGATGCTTGCGAAGCTGGTTCATCCTCAAACCGACATAGTCCAGCTTCGGCCAAGTCTTGCAATGTCGGTGGCGGAGCTGTCTTTTTGGCTTTGGTGGATGTAAAGGAGTTGGCCAGTCGGTACAGATCCGTGGTCCAGTCGCCAACGGGTCGAATGTGAAACTCCAAATAGTCGTCCGATGGTGCCGAGGAAATGGTAAAGGCATGCCATTCCAATAGAGCAAGATAGGGTATATTGAGATTGGCATACATGCCCGCCCTCAATCGGTTCTTCCATGACGGTGGTTTGGTCAGGCGCAGGTAAATGACATTGCCTGGTTTGATAGACAGCTCCAGTACTTTGACCTGGGCACGAGAACAGCACATGCCCGCCACTTCACGCCATATCCGCTGCAGCAAGTACAAGCACAGCGGCACTCCCACCCAGTAGATGGACTGTGGAGGTTCCAACAGCTGTCCAACCCCATGAAACAATAGAGCCACCAACATGACCAATAATAAGTGATGACTGTACCAAAAGACATTGTATCCCAATCTCCGATACATCATGACGGTGGGATAGGCAATGAGTATACAAAACGCCATGATAATGCCAGTAATGGCCGCAGGTTGTCGTAGTAAGAGTTTCCATCTCCCGGCAGGGTCCTCGGGTATGTACGCTTCGTTTGGAAACAGTAGATACAAGTCCTCTTCGTAGGGGTGATGCACAAAGCGATGAAAATCGCAGGCGTGGGCCGCACAATGGAGTAGAGTCCAATAGAGAAAGAGAATGCCAATCACTCGATGAATGACGACCCATTGGTCGAGTGGTAGCCATTCGGTCCAAAAGATTCGTTTGGAACAACACCTTAGCGGAGGCAGTGTTTGCACCAATGTCCACAAGTGGCGACAGAGTGGTAATAGAATGAGACAGGCATTCAGGTTCAAGCACATGGCAGCTCCTCGCGCAACAATGACGCAGGATCCAAAGACTTGACGAGCAGGTGCGTGCTTGTCGTCAAAGGCATAGATACTGGCCTTGTAGTAGAAACAAACCACATTGGCCAGGGCATACAAGAGAAGCCAAACACAGGTAACACGGTGGTTGCGCCAGTAGATTCGTACAGCGCGACCAAACCGTACCAGACAAGTCTTCTTGTCGCGGCAAGATGCAGGAAGGGTCGCTGCAGTTGGAGCCGCAGTAGTTGGAACAGCATCAGCTTTCTCTTGGTCATCCTTGACGATTTCCTGATTTAGCCAAGAGCTTTCAAATGAGGTCACACTGTAGTATTCGTCCTCCTCATTATTATCGTCTTGACAGGGCCCTTCTCGTGCATCTTCAAAGGATTCCTCGTGGCTACCGTCGAGCACCTTTACTTCTATTTCCACCTCCTCCTCGTCAATAGAGATGGCTGGTTTCAAGACCCTCATCTTCCTCCTCGCTAGCTAGCTAGCTAATAAGTTTGTATTGTGGGAAGCAGGGGTAGCCAGGAATGAATGAATCGGAATCGAATCGCTCAAACCGTGCTACCGTCCTCTCCAACCAATGTTCGCGGCGTGGAGAGAGAGGAATGTGAAGCAGGAAAGCAGGAAGCTTCTCATGAAGGGTTGATGGCTTCGTCCAGGTTTACAGGTGACAAAGATCGTTGCAAAATTCAACGAGAACAGCACGGGCGGCATAACAAGACTTTACCATGACCCTCGCGAAGAAGGTGATTAGACAAAGATGGCTGAATTACGTTAAGGTTTACTTAAGTGGGAGCGTGACGGAAACATTCTGCCGCCTAATTCGAGTTAAGCTACACTTAGAAACCGCCCAGGGCGAAACTAACTTGGTACTTGGTACGGTACCAATCTCATGCACGCTATTTAGCCCAAAAAATTCCGGTGATTTTTGGGTCTGTGGCCTGTAAACGACGGTGTGGTCTCTTTCAACAAGAGTCTTTCAAATCAGATTGCTGTTCAAATCTCTTTCCTTCCCACCAAGATAGTCTACTAGCTAGTAGACTACATGTACAAGTTTTTATTAAATAAGAGGAACGACCAAGAGCAACTCTAGCTAGGATACGGCTCGTATCTAGCTAGGCTACTAGCAAAGTAGCTCTGCAACCATGTACAACAGAGACTCCGATCATGGAGCGTCACCAAGAAACCTCTGAGGAGTGCAAAGCATGTTGGTGTTCGGTCACTGGAGGTGCAGTGGTAGCTACCGGTATGGCATAGAAAATGATTGGAATGTTTTCAGATACAGTAACTAGTAGCGCTTTCTGATTGAATACAGTATTCAAATGCTGAATGACCTCAGGGTATACGACTGTACTAATAGCCTACCACAGCTCCTCGCTCCCACTTGGCACTGCCATCACGGAGCGGCAAAGAGGATCTTATGATTTGGAGGCGGCAACATCTGCCTCTATGTCAATAGAGGCCGTAGCTACCGTACTAGCTAGTAGCTGGCTAGATTGGTTTTGTTGCGCTCTGCAGCATTAGTCTAGACTATTTACGAAGTAATAAGTCTTGAATGTTCTCTATTTTATGAAAGCATTAATGTCCACTTGAGACTTAGTAGTCACTTGATTTTGATACTGTAAGACTTAATGTCTAAACCAGACTAACTCTTTGGCTGTCCAAGCGCAACACGCACTTTCGGCAAGTCAACACGAAATCCGACCATGACAAGCAACACAGCGGCAATACTACTATAGCTGGTACCGTCGGAGGAAGTCAATCAGATGATCCAGGTCCTTCTTTGCTGATTGCTGGTTCTAAAGCTATCATATCGTTCCACAGAGACAGCCAGAGATTCTTTCTTAGTTTTCCTTCTGTCTCCGCAGATTTGGAAGGAAACGACCACGATGACAGCTGCACTCCGTCGCTGGTTGGCAGTACTGCTTCTACTAGTTATTTCCCATCCTTCCTGTGCTACGGTTGTCGGAGCCATTGGACGTGGAGGCTCTCTCCAGTCTCGGCGGTGGGAGCGAATGGACGGCAAGGCACTTGGAGGAGGAGGAGGTTCCCTGCAGACGACTTTGCAGTCCGCGGCCGGTGGTCGAGCCTGTAGCTGGTTTGTTTGGGATGGCCCATCGGCGTTGCTTCATCGATGGTGTCATCATTTGCTCAAGGATTGCGTCTACGAGGGACTGGGTGGAAAAAAGGTGCGTCCCAAAAGGCAGAGCTTGATCTAGCTAGCATGTTTTCCTTTCTTCTGCCACTAACACTCTATGGCTCCATCTTTTTCATACTTATTTCTGTTTAAACAGTTTGTCCGCATTGAACCTGGTTCTGTGCTACAGCTTTTGTATCCTTGCTCTCGATACAGCTCGGACCGTTGCATGATTTGTGGTGGTACCTATCGAGATCATTTGACCCTGTGGTGGGCCAAGCAACTCTACACACCCCTGGACCAATACTTGGATAAGACCTATCAGCGGGCAGTTGTCTTGGAAACACACAGCAGCAGCAGCAGTAGCCATAGCCACAAAAGGTCATCACCACGCCGAACAAGGCCATCCGGTAGCACCTTGGGGGGGAGGAGAAGAAGAAGCACTGTCGGCAAACCAAAACCTGCTCCCACAACAATCAGCCCCACCAAAGTGTTTGCCTTTCACAGACATTACGTTACCGACGTCAATACGTTGACCGAAGGAATCAAAAACAAGAAAGAGCGCCGTCAAAAGCTACGCAAAGAGCTCACCAAAATGAGCCACAAAGCGGGACCCATGGAGGTACGAATATTGGCCGAGAACAAGGTGACCTATGTGGTCCCGTCTCCACTGGATCAGAGCCCCAGCACAAACAAACACAACGACAAGCCGAGCTCCGCTTCTGCCACAGACGATGACAACAAGCAACGAAAATCTGCCCTCTGGATGTTCTCACGCTCACTCGTCTTGGGGGCCATGGATCGAATGATCATGATGCAAGAGATGGAAAACGACAAAATACGACTAAAGGAACAAACCCAAAGATGTTGTCCTTAGCTGTTCTAAAGGTAACTCAATAACTACATGCTGATACATGCGATTATGAAATCACAGTATCCATATTCCAGGATTCGAAAGCAAAAGGGGCCATGCGCACTAGCTAGCTAAGAACATTAGCAGCAAAGCCAGAACAGCATCAACAACAAAGCTCCACTGCTTTCATCCAGCTGGCCAGGATAGTGCAATTTGGTTCATTGCTGACTGGAGAGGCATTCTTCGGAATGCGACCGTAGCTGTGGACTCGGCCGCTAGCTAGCTAGTACTGTAGGATAAGATCATACTGTAGTTCATCTGACTTTTTATAGCTCTTTCTATGGTTAGAATAAACATTAAATAGATGAGTTAAGGAGCGAGGGGGGCTAAGCTGGGCAGAGGAGGGCATCTGTGGTGGGAAATCACAGGGAGAACATAGGAAAGAAGGAAGTAGAGGGAAAGGAGAGGGGATGTCTCGAGGGAGTAAGAGAAGGGCAAAATTAGTGGAAGAGTGCAAGTGCACCATCAGCACCCCAGGGAGAACAGCGGTAGCTCATTGTGCCAGCATGGACACGAGAGCCACGCATGCAGAGGTGGCGGGCCCAAAGAATAGCTAGGCTGAGCCGAGCATTAACGTAGCCACGCACCACTGAGTAAGGGCGTTCCCACTTTGCAGCGAGCAAAGCGGAAATACGTTTGGCGAGTGCCTCAGCTTCGGCCCCAAGGAGATCGTCAGCAGACAAACGGAGTAAAGTGGCGGCGTTGGGAAAAACAGGCGTCGAGATACTTGCGTTTCTTGTCGCGTTCGCCATTGCGAAGAACCTTGTGAGGATCCTTGCGACAGTGAGAAGCAGCATCAAGATTGATGACACGAACATCAATTATGTTGTCAGTTCCACCTTGCCAGAGGCCACTGATAAGGAGATCACCTCATTCCTCAGATGGGGTGAGAACTACAGGAGAGTCACTGGAAGGCATCCGGAGCTGCAGAGCGACTAAGATGGATACAGGGTTCGTCGCAAACTGCAGTAGGAATGAATGCCTTGGCAGCAAGATCACCAAGTTCATCACAAACGTCATTGTGGCGATGGAGAACCAGGCCGCCCTTGGTACAGGGAAGAGCGTGAGTGACATTGAAGCGCTCTCCACAGCCATCACAGTGGGTGGGGAGATCGGAGGGGACTCCGATCGTAGCGCAAGTGCAACGCATCGCAAAATTCCTGGGCGGCCAGAACAGTGCCATTTTCAGGCACTGGAACCACATGAAGCCAGGCGCCAGTCTCCGGGGCACACTTCACAACAGAACGGCTGAAACGTGGCAAGGTACCTAGGACCTTGTGAAGGTTCGCAGCAGCTGCAGCTTCACATTGAGTGCGAAGAGCCTCACGACCATCAGACACAGCCTGGCGGTTATTCGCAATGCGGAGTTCTTGCGAGGGATCACACAGACTGGCTGTGATCACACTACAGGTGTCCTTACTAGCACTATGATTTTCATGGATAGTGCCAGTGAGATGGGGAAGGGCCAGGCCAGCTGCTTTGACAGGCAAGCTGGTGAGTGGGCGTGTGGGAAGCTCCGAAGGAGCAACCAATGGGTGGAACGTGTTGGGGATAGCGGCCTCAATGGCCGCAAAAGAAGAAAGAATGAGCTGAGAAAGAATGGGCAGAGCACAGTTCTAAGGTGCTTCACAATTGATCCAGAGCGTGCAAAGCCTGGACCGTGACTGGCACTGGTAAGCTTCATTCACCGTTCGCCTAGGACGGTTTGTTTGTAGGTAGATTATCTACGGAAGGTTCACTGTGGCATCAACCCTGGTCAATTCAGCATTGAAGACGTACAAGTGACCATTCATATCTCGGAGAGCACCTTTGAGGAATCCGATTGGATCGATGTCATCGACGAGGGACCTTTTGTCTGGCTCGGCAAGGAAGAGGCAGACGGATCCTATGAATCTCAGGTTGCTATTTGCCGGTACGACCATGGGAGCGATCCCTATTGCGTATCTGGAACCACAGTCATACCCGCTGATGGACACGTTGTAGAAGTGAGGGACAGTAGCGTGCTTAATTAATCTGTTCATCGAAGACGGTTTTGTGGATGCAGCCGGTGATTGGAAGTTGTCTGCTCGATCAGGAACGGATGGCGTCATCCCAGAATGGACTCTCAGCTTCACCCTGGTGGATAAGCGGAATGGGAACCGCCAGCGCATGCTTCGTGGTGCAGCAGCAGGCACAGGAAAGGCTAGCTAGCTAGCTAGAAACTAATCAAACGACAAGTGTAAAGAGTTAAAAGCTTCCTTATAGGAAATCTACGTAGTTGGCAAAGATAACCCGGGGAAGTGAAGGTACCGGTAGGTGCGGTGGGGAGTGGAACGGAATGGGGTGTATTTGCATTGCAGTGTGGAGTCAGGCATGGAAGGAAAGGAGGAAGAGTATTCAGCTTCAATGCATCGATGAATTTGTGCAGCCATGGCCAGGGAGAAGTCGACAAAGAGTTGTGATGGCCCATTGCGAGGGAGTGAAGGCTGTTTGTCTTTGACGACAGCAGAAGCTTTCTTTAAGTTGGTTGGAAACGGTCTTTGGTGCGAAGCAGCAAGTGATATGGGTGGAGGAGGCGTCTTGCCAAAAAGAAGGAAGTGTGCATAGGGTCATCAACCTGCCAAGTAGTTCACAGTGAAAGGGAGGTAGATGAGTTGATTGAGTCTGAGAAATTCTTGGCCAGGAATGATGCCCGCAGAGCGAGATCCACTGAGCTTCTGCTTGATTGCATAAAGATGGGCCTCTTGAAGTGTTTTGGGTGTTGAATCAGGCTGATGAACATAGCAATGTGCAAAGCCTAAACTTGTCTGACATCCTTTTCCAATCCGCGGAACTGAGCGTGGATATCTTGATCTCGTTGTGTTCATGTTGGATGGGGTAACGATGATGCTATCACCTGCGGGCTTTACGTCTCCACCTTCTAGATAGCGTCCCTCCAAAGAAGCATCGATTCTTCGATTCATTCGCAAAAAAGTCCATCTGCTTTCCTGACGAGTGGATAGACTTCCAGCAGAAAGGTCGCCTCCACAGCCACATCCGTTGATTCGACAAGTTTTGGAGGGATGGGCTTTTGCGCACTCGATAGAGCCACACGGCAATGGGACAAAGATGATCCTCTTCCGTACCAGCAGCCGTGGCGGTCTCATCACGATTAGCCTCGGCTCTCCATGGCGGTTCTCACTCGGGTAGTGTGTACTGTTGCCAGCTCCTTCGGAACGCGTTCGGTTGGCGTCGTCGATGATGATTGCCGCAAGTAAGTAGAAGAGCGCGGACGACGAGCAGCAACTCCATTTGACAGAATGAGCAAAGCATCCGCGTCAGTGCGAAGAGCAAGCCTAATCCTTGCCAGGGCTCAAACCTTGCAATGGACCGCCTAGGCAGTCGTCCGAGACGGACCATCACAAGGACAAGGCAATGGCAGGAATCAGGCATAGACTTCAAACTGACGAAGATGCTTTGGTCATTCTCTACCAAAGAGAATTGCTGCGTTGCTCTGGTGATGTCTCGCCGTACACCCCACACAAAGTAACTGTCAGAGTAGTGGCACCTGCGGACGATCCAAAGAGTCATCAGAAGGGGTGAGTGAGTGCCCGCAGTGCACGATATACATCAGCCATTGCCAAACACCATGCGCAATCCCCAAGTCAAGCACAATCCCCAAGTCAAGGACAAGCAAATAACACAATACAATACAATACAATACAACAGGACAACTCTATTTCCCTGTCAAGGGTTACCATTTCGCAGATTGCTCTTGGCTGGGTGTGCTGAGGGGTGATGCTTTGGCCCAACCTTCCCATTTTTGAGCCTATGAAACCGCCCATGGATCCTCTTTTGGCGGCGTCTTTTACTCGGTCGCCAGCAAGACCAACCGTTCTTTATTGTTTATACCAGTGTGATCCAACCAACGTCGGGACTGGCCTCTCCTCCCACATGAATGGTTTGGGATCCTTACCCCTCGCTCTACTTGGCTCAACCGCGAGCTCTAGCTAGTGGTTCAGAGCCAGCAACCATGCTCTCGTTGCAGTCCAATAGTCTAGATACACGAAGACAAACCATCTTGTGCAAGAGAGGCCCTTCGACTTGTTTCTTGCAAATCCGGACTCCTTCCTCCCCGGCATTGACTCCATGTCGTCCCTCCCTTCTACCGTTTACACGTTGCAACCAAGCATCGGACAAAGCTTTGACAAACCCAAGGACATGACCGGGGCCTTTGGACAGCGAACCTGGCTGATTGTTGCTTGCATTTGATGAAGGAGCTGAACTCCATACCAAGAAAGACCGAGGGCACGGGCGGTTCTTGGCCAAAGTGCTCGGGGAATCTGCCAATGAATTGAGGTTGGATCCATCAACTCCATTGCGAGTCTGTTGTCGATTGGTGCATTCCTGGATGCGATACTCGAGATCCCTCGATCGACCAGCGAGCCAACACGTGCCGGTACCAGGTCCGGACTCGGGAAATCAGGCGTTGCCTGTCATCGTCGAACGGTTGGTCCTCTGACGCGCTCTCTTTGGACAAAACGCTGCTGTAGGTTTCTTTGAAACCCATGAGGGCCGTGCTCAGCTCAGCTGCCCTGGCAACGTAGGTTTTCCGGGAGACTCTGGAGGCCGCTCTTGGGCAGAGCAGCCGACTCGACTCGACTCGGAAGTTTGCCGGACCAAAAATGCTTCTCAGGACGCTGGTGGCAGTTGAAGAGGTTCGTTGTGGCCATATAGTCTCATGGATGGGCTGTATTCGATTGGATTGGGTTCGACTGCGATCTCTGATCAGACTCCGGGCAGCCTGTAAGGACTGGATGGGCATACTGACAGCGACATGATGAGAGGAGCGCCATCCCTTTGGAGCACGCCCGCTTCCGCTCTGTCCGGATCTCCCTGATCTTGCCCAGACATCTCTGGTTACGACAGTACCATGACAAGGTCCTCTTTCTATGTAAGATTCCAAAGGAAGGGACCAAATCTTCCGTATGTTCTCCTACATCGGAGGATTGATTGGGTTGGGCAACTGCCAGGACCTCGGTTCAGTGCAAGACAACAATTGGCAAATTCTTAATGGCACAATACCATGCATATCCTCTGTGCTTTGACGTCATGAATCGGCGCTATCCATGAAACTGATATCGGATGACACTGGGTACCGGATGAATAGATGGATTGCTGTAGAGCCCGTGTATATATAACATTTGAGCGTATGTCCTCTCTCAACCCCACGCACAATGGACGCAATGTCAATTGCTGTCGTTTGTTGGCAAGACGGATATCCCAATTTGATGCAAAATTTGTCGTAGTCGC